TACAGATTGAGGTTATGTCTGGTTCAGCTCCACTGATTTGTGCCGAAATTAGGGCTTTGGACTTTGAAAATTTCGTGAAAATAACAGTTATACAGACTTTCATTCTCAAGATTTCTCTCCTAAAAATGGCTTCAATTAAACTTTTTTGCGAGTGGATCATTCGTTTTGTTCCGACACATCTAGTTAATCTATCACCTCCTCCCTTTTCAAACCTTTGTTATTGCATCAAAGAAATTAACATATCTTTTAAGATGTCTAAGTCAATGTAAGAGGTCAATTTATGTTTATCACAAAAATTTAAAAAGGATTACTTTAAGTCCAATTGTTTTGAGTATATATCTTTGTATTGTAACTGCTTATGAAAATCACTGTTTGAAATGGTAATCAGGTTTTGACTCAACTGAGTCGGTTCATTCTATGTGTAATTCCTTGTCCTTTTTCATTATGCATGGTATACAATTTACAAATGTGAAGGAAAACTGAGCTGCTAGGCAACATTTTGCTTCAACTGGTAAATGCTATAGCATATTTGAATTTTACAAATGAATATGAATCACAGTCAGACATTTAAATTTTATTGTTCATAATTTTACCATTGTGTTTAATCTAATGACATTGCACATGATAAGAATTTAAAATACAGAACATGCAATGATTCATGTATATACATTTACCCCATGTGAAGGCTTATTAGTAGTTTAAAAAATTGGGTCACATATAAAAAAATTTCCCCAAAAATTTGTGAGGGAGGATTTTTTATTTTCATTCTATTTTTTCTCTATGATTGCAAGTAATTTTACTGAACTATTTGCATGTCTTAAATTGAAGAAAGAAAATCTTGGTATGGAGGGATTGAGAATCTATTAACTTATTTTGTGTCCTTAGAAACCATACCATGAACAAAACTGAATATTTTTCTTGAATTTGAAATAATCACGGTATTGACCTTTGAAAAATGAATGTATTTTCTTGAATTTGAAGTAATCATGTTATTGACCTTCGAAAAAAAGAATGTATTGATTGTAAGTTAAGTAAGTGAAGTACTGGGTACTTGTGACTCTCATAATCTGCAGATCATGGAAGGGATGTAATGACCTTGAAATAGAATTTTTTATCAGTAAAAAAGATATTTTTTCCTGGTCACCAGTTTAATACAAGTACATTAGGTATGCAACTATGCATGTCTTATAAATGGCCCAATTTTGATGATTTTAACTCCATGTGAAATGACAGAGGCCTGATGGGGTGGACAGTGATAAGGGAACCTGGGAATGAGGGGGCAGGAACCAGGGTATAGAGGGAGTAAAAATAGAGATATGCTGGGAACAAATTTTGACCAATTTTTGTCTGAAAGTTTCAGGGACCCCCTGTCCATCCCTTCTGGTCAAGCTAATACACATGATAGTCACTATTTATTGTCCCCGCCTAACGCGTTGCGGGGGATATGGACATACCGGGCATCCGTCCGTCCGGTCTTGTTAGTGCTCTCACATGTACAATTTTTGCCAGATTTTTATGTAACTTATATCATAGTTTTATATCAGCAATGTCCTAGACAAGTTCGAAAATCAGTGCAGATCAATATTTTTAAAAGAGTTATGCCCCTTGGAAACATTAATTTTATGGAAAATTGTATCGTTAGCACTCTCCTGTGTACAATTCTTGCCAGAATTTTATGAAACTTATATCATAATTTTATATTAGCAATGTTTTGGACGAGTTCGAAAATCAGTGCCGATCAATTATTTTTAAAAGAGTTAATGCCCTTGGAAACATTAATTATATTGAAAATTGCATCGTTAGCGCTCTCATTTGTACAATTCTTGCCAGATTTTTATGAAACTTGTATCATAGGTTTATATTAGCAATGTTATGGAATAGTTTGAAAGTCAGTGCTGATCAATTATTTTTAAAAGAGTTATGCCCCATGGAAACCTTAATTTTATGGAAAATTGCATCGTTAGCGCTCTTATATGTTCAGTTCTTGCCAGATTTTTATGAAACTTATATCATAGGTTATATCAGCAATGCCTTGGACGAGTTCGAAAATCAGTGCCGATCAAATATTTTTAAAAGAGTTATGCCCCTTGGAAATATAAATTATATGGAGAATTGCATTGTTAGCACTCACATATGTACAATTCTTGCCAGAATTTTCTGAAACTTAAATCATATGTTTATATTAGCACTGTCTTGGATGAATTTGGAAAATAGTTCCAATCAATAATTTTTAAAGAGTTATGCCCCTTTGAAATATTGATTATATAGAAAATTGCCTTATGAGCACTCTAATGTGTACAATTCTTCCCAGATTTTTATGAAATTTATATTATAGGTTTATATCATCAATGTCCTTGAAGAGTTAAAAAATCAGTGCCGATTAATTATTTTTAAAAGAGTTATGCCCCTTGAAAATATTGATTATATGGAAAATTGCAATGTTATCACTCTCACGTGTTCAATTCTTGCCAGAATGTTATGAAACTTATATCATAAGTTTATATCAGCAATGTCTTTGACACTTTCGAAAACAAGTTATGATCAAATATTTTTAATAAGTTATGCACCTTGGAAATATAAATTATAATGGAAATCACATTGCATTTGCTCTGAAGCCTTCATTTCTCTTAAGATATTAATAAAAAGTTTTAAAGAACAAAAAAAAAAGTACTTATCTTTGTTATTGCCATTTTACCTTGGAAAGATAAAATATGTGCAACGCAGGGGACATTGGAACTCTGTTCTTTTATTTTAGCTTATATAACATGTATAGTAAGCAGATGCTCTTTCATACAGTTTAAACTGTGTCTTATTCCAAACATGTCAGAGATTGAATCTTAAATATATGGTGCTAATTTTTATAATCTTTGCATTTCAAAAATAGTGTTTCAAGTAGACTATTGAAAAAAGCAAAAACTGAGTCTATATAAGGGAATGGTCATTTGTATCCTGAAAAGGGTGGGCCTGACAATTTTTGGGAATGGAAAGGTGGGGGTTTCAATTTTCAGTACTTCAAATGGGGAGAGGGGGGGAGGGTATTGTCTAACACTTGATTCAGATGTCATATCTATATCTCTTGTGTCATCATTTTTGGCTTCAAAATTCATTTCAATGTTTTATTCATGTAAGTCATGACCATTTTCTGTTTGTTATGCACAAACCTTTAATATTAATTCTAGAAAATTACCATAATTTTGTTGATTATTTGAAAATTTAAGATGGCTCCTATGTATAAAGAAGATAAGTTTCTGATTAGCAAGTTACTCAGTAATATTGTAGTTGTACCTTTTATAATTAGCCAGCAAAGAATAGTATTTGTAACCTATGATTACTCTTTTTACGTCTTGTGCGAAAAAAAATTATGTATAATAAAAATTCAATCTCACTCTGTTAAATATCAAGTTACCTAGACCTGGGACTATAATACATGAAATTGCTCCTGTCTAGACTAATTATATTTTTAGAAGTTAATATTATTGACCCTTGATTTTCAACGGAAAGATTGAAACAATTGTTCCAATTCTTTTCCTGAGGCATTGGCCTTCATATCCCACAGGATGTGACCAAGTTAGCTACTATTAATATCAATACACACTGAAATATAGTTCACAATTAATACCTCTAATGTCTATTTAAATCTGCAAAAATGTACTGTACAAATTGGGGTTATATCTTTAAAGCAATTTATTCCGGTATGAATGTCTTTAGTCTTACAATGCTGGCTAGATTCGTCTTTTCTATTAAGTTAGAGTACTGTTACAATACTAGAGGATCTAGATTGGGTTTACAGAATAGAAAATAACGCACAAAAACTGCAAAATAAAGGTAAAAAAAATAGAGAATAGAGAAAAACAAGCAAACTAATAGAGAATAGAGAATAATAGGGTGGTCAAATATATAGAATGGGAAATAATGGGCAAAATAGATAAAGAATAGAGAAAAATGGTCTAAATAATTATGGAATAAAGAAATAAAGGACCCCCCACCCAGACCCTCATGCTATTATAATAAACATGTTTGTAATGGACTTTTGGTCCAGCTTCTTGGTCCCATTGGAATTACTTTACGGTAATTTTATCAATTTAAGGCAATCACTTTTTTTTGAGAATGTTTGCAAGTACAAATTTATCATTGCACACTTACTAACCTTTTGTTCTCAAATATAATTTTGATAAAAATACCTATAACTTGATATTATATGGTACAATCATGATTGATGTGTGTGGTTAAAAAAAACAGGGAATAATTAAATCTCTGTCCTAAATTCACAATATTCACCTGGCTTTACTAGGTGATTTTTATTTCTTCGTCAGTTTTACCTATCCTAATATACTTTGAATAGGTAAGCCCTTTTAATCAAGATATTACTTATGGACTTAAAAAAATATAACTCCTACTTAAGAGTAAACAGTGACACACAGTCATTTGTTAATAATAGTTTGTTTACACAAATATGTATGTACATTTAGTTAATAATTCATGTATGTCAAAGTCTGCACATCATGTAATTATGTGGTTTTTCTTGAAAACAAAATAGAGGTCAACGACTTTTATTTTAATTCTGTAAAGTGTCTTTTCAATTTTATTTTTCCAATTGAAAACTTTTGAGATTTTGGAGGTTTTATTTTCTGTTTCTGTTATCCACCTTAGTATAAAAGGTAAGTTATTGGCATGGGACCAAATATAGTATAAATGTATATACTATCAAAATTTACTTTGTCAAGGTAAAATACAGGTGTGTTGACAATGTTCACCTCAGCGAATCACTTCCTTGTTATAAATGTCGAAGTTAGACAGATACGGGAAATTACCCAATCACTTTGAGTGTCGTCCATTTTTGAATCACTTTAGCAAACAAGAATGTTTTTGTGTCGAATGTCAAATTCTAAAAAAAATGGAGTTATGCCAATACTAAAGTTGGAATTTATGTCAGAAAGAACTTGGGAAATTGTGTCAAAGAGAACTTTGTTGTGAGAACTTTTTTAATTGTTTATTTTCAGCAAACAATCCATTCAGCCAAACGAGTCAAGGAGGTAACCTCCCGATCACTGTTAACCAAGATACTATGGGTAAGTACAAGATATGACTTAGAAAATGGTACAATGATAGAATTGAATATTATATAATTTATTTGCACAAATATTTTATTTTAAATTTTATTTTTTCTTTGTGCATTTAATCTAAAGAAAGGTTGCCATTTAGTAAATGAATGTTTGCATGTACAACATCACTGTTGTCATGGGTGTATAATACAAAGTGTAAAAATTGTGACTCTGGAAATACCAGTGCCATATAGCAAAAAGTAATTAATGTTTTAATATTGATTGATCGACCATGCTGAATTACTTCAAAGTTTTGGTCGGTATTTAATAATTTTTTATATGCTAATAAATGATGAAATTTCATGCTACAACAATGTTATAACTTTTAAATATATAGGTTTACATTTAATTACAATTTAATTATACATTTGTATTTTTATTGCATTAAATGCATTTTTGTTCTCAAAATTTTAACGATCTGCATCGACTTCAATTGCAAATACACCGCTCCCTAAATGGCTTTTAAAAGTTAAAAATTTGCAAATGCAATGTACCCTAATTTGTTTGCACATTAGAGTGCCACTTCCTATCAAGTAAAGAGAGGGCAGTTGCTCATTATTATTTTTTTGCCATTTTTTAATCCTTTTTCTATTCACTTTATGATGCCTCTTTAGGGAGGTTCAAAACAATGTCTACTGCTTTCAAAAGTAATAGGAAGATTGTTTTCAGACTTCATTTACTAATTTCAATCCAACAGTTATTAGGATTTTTAAAATCAAACTCATTTTACATTGTTGAATAAGTTCCATGCATGTCGTACAAGCTGTACTGTGTATCGAAATCTGTCTTGAATGAAGTCTAATATGTAACTAAATTTGATGCTATTTTAAATTCTAAGGCCTGTTATCAGTACATTTGGCACAAGAACAGAGTTATTTGTAGTCTTTAGTTACTGTGCATATTGCTATGTGTTTCTTTATTCTACATTGGCTAGAGGTAAAGGGAGAGGGTTGAGATCTCACAATACAAGTTTAACCCCGCCGCATTTTTGCGCCTGTCCCAAGTCAGGAGCCTCTGGCCTTTGTTAGTCTAGTATGTTTTTTAATTTTAGTTCATTTATATGTTTTGGAGTTTAGTGTGACGTCCATTTTCACTGAACTAGCACACAATTTTATTTAGGGGCCAGCAGAGGACCACCTCCGGGTGTGGGATTTTCTCGCTGCATTGAAGACCCATTGGTGGCCTTTGGCTGTTGTCTGCTCTTTGGTCGGTCACAATGTTGTCTCTTTGACATATTCCCCATTTCCATTCTCAATTTTATTTTATTTAGAACAATAAATGCAAATTAATAAAATCCCATCTATGTTTTCTCAAAAAAAATTTTACAGTGTAGTGTACTACTTTTGTGACAAATTTTATCAAAATTATAGAAGAGTCTACCAGCTTTAACTCAGAATATGAACCCTACTTTATGTTCAGGAGGTCTTTAATTCAGTTTGACAGCTTCATGTAGCCATACAAATTTTTACCTTAATCAACTGGACCAAATTGCTACTTTACCTTAAAATTCATGACCCAAATGATTTTAACATTTTATTTAATCCCCCTACCTCTTACTATTTTATGCATAATATAGGAAGAAAAAAATTTGGAAGATGTATAAAGATTTGTCAGTATTGAGTAGGGACTATATTTATAGACCACAAAAGTCAAAGGACTATAACAGAATGTTTTTACCTGCAATCACAGTTTGAGGTGAAACGAAAGTGGCACATTCGAAATGACTAGATGAAACATACGCTGATAAATTTGAATGAAAGGAGATATAGGTTATATATCTTTTCGACAATAACCTACCATCACAAAAAATAAAAAGACAATTAGATATTATCTTCAACAATAGACAATTTTCTATACAATAGATCAAGCCTTGTCTATAAAAGTTGGCTTTGAAATGAAAAGTCTAAACTGATCTGCAATTTAATTTTATTTAAATAAAAAAACAAGATCACTAAGAAGAAATAATCTAAATAGGGAACTGATACCACATCTTAACATAAAAAAAAATGAGGCTCTGAAAAAGGTTGGAGGATCAGCAGAGATAGAAAAGTTCCTCATTTGAATTTATATTACCATAAAGTTAAAGGAAATCATGGGTTTCAGTTCTCTTGGGAATATCTCGTTCCTTTCCATATTGTTTTTAGAAAACAGGTTTTTAAAAGATCTTCATGATAATCATGTGATAAAAATAAACAATATAAAAAAATCACCTGGAAAAAAAAACTATTGTGGAATGAAAATGTTTAAGTGTATTATATCCTTTGTTCCTGGTGGACCAATAATAAAAATATTGGATTCAGTATTCCTGTGTTAGAAGTGTTGTGATATATATAGGTAAACTTATTTTATGAAGCTAGGTCACATGATTTCTGAGAAAACGACTCTTCCTTGATAAATGTTATCCTTGTTAGATTGTGTGTACTGGGATCAGTTGATTATTTAAAGGTATAGGAAGGGAAACTGGTTCAAATCACTTCAAAAATTCTATTTAATTTTGAGATATGAAAAATCTCAGCCATTCAATATTAATTAAAATTTTTGATTTTCAAATTTGCTTTTGGAAAAAATGCCCCTATATATATGCTTCCTTTTCTCATATTAGATTTAAATAAAAGGTTTGTTGGATCGAAATAAATTATTTTTTAATGAGAATGGCAAAAGGTAATGTTTAACACCAAAAAAAATAACCCTTATTTTACTTGTAGATACTACTCCTATATCGAATGCACAACAGCAGCAACAGCTGCAACAGGCAATTAGAATGACAGCAGCTCCAGTACGTCGTGCTCGACCAAGACAAACTGCTAGCGTTAATGATTTAACCACAGATGGTGAAAGCCAATTGCCTACCCTCTTTTCCCAAGATATCTTCATGCAACCACAAGGCCCACCAATGATGATGCCACAACAAGATATGAAACAAAATGTATACCCTGACCCTAACCTAATGTATTTCCAGCAGTTTGCAGTTGGTAATCAACACATACCATTTCAACAGTTGCAACCCCGTGGATCACAACTGACTCCTCGTGGCACTGTCATACGACAAGCCCCTAGTCACAATTTCGGTGGTGATGGTAGACGAGGCTATGATGAGACAGACAGTGTTCCATCGAAGCAAATGGGGGGAGTGTGCTTTCCCCCTGCAGAACCGTATGGTCATCAAGGATTTTTCAAATCAGCATCTGATTCAGTATTATCAGGGAAAATTATGGATAACGGGAATGAAGGACTTGAACGAATTGCTCCGTTTGAATGTCAGATGCCTCCCAGTGACTTCACCGCAAGAGATGATTCAAGACAAATTAAAACTGAGGACTATGGCATCGATATATTTCAAAAGGACGAAAAAATTGAGGACAATGAGGATGAAATGAAAGAGGAAGAAAAATGTTTGAAAACTGTACAAGAGGACGTGCTAGAAAATAAAGTTGACAATATGGAAGATTCTGAGATGACGTCAGATGATCAAAATAAACAAAATATGGATATTAAAGACCAAAGTGAACATGAAATATCTGTCAAATCTCAATCACAGGATTTTAGTGGTATGTCCACATTTGTTTTCTTTAGTTGTGTATTTGTGAAAGTTTGGATAGCTCCATAGGGTGATATAGGATAAAAGAAAAAAAATAATTTCATTGAAGTTCTATGAGGTGATGTAAAACTATTATTAATTCTTAGGAGAAAAAGAGAAAATCTGGTCTGATTGAATTGTGCCAATGATCTGCTAGGGCTTTTTCTGATTCCATTAGAATCATCAATAAACTTTACATGCAAAATATGACGATTGATAACTAAAGAATGTTCATGTAAATCTAACAGAAATGTAAAAGATATATAAAAAAAAAAAAAAAAAAAATGAAAAAAATATTCTTTAATCTCATCACTCATAAAGTTCATTCCAACATATTATTTGGCCAATATTTTCTCTTTACTTTCCCTCAGTCTTAATTCCTATGTACTGTAAATTCAAAGTTTTTGTCATGATTTTTTTTTTATTATTTCAAAAATTACGACAGATAGGTATAGCAAAAATGGAAACTCTAATTTCAAATTTTTGTAGCATGATTTGCAGTCAGAATTTCCTAAAATCACAGTAACTAATCTTGCATTTTTGTCAATTTGTGGGTCTAGTGCAAAGCAGGGTTAATTTTCATATTATATCAACATGCTCATTTTATAAAATCAAATTTTGACTACACATTAAAATAACAAAAAAATTATGAAAAATTAGAAAATTTCATTGATGATGATTCATTAACCATAAGTTCATTCATTAGTTTATAGTGAGAGTAGTAGGAGTAGATAAACAAGATAAATCAATCATAAAAACATTAAACAAAATTTTTCAAAATGACAAATCATTTTTTTTATTTTGATGCAAATATGACCAAAACAAAGAATTTTTAAGTAGCATTTTTAAGCAAACACCGATATACATTAAAAAGCAAAAATAAAAATCATGATTGATGAATGAATTGAGCAAAAAAATTCAGGTGAGCGATTCATGCTCTTGAGAGCCTCTTGTTCTATTTACTACTACAAGGGTGTTTAAGGACCTTGACTACCAATGAGGGTCTCAAACAGTCAGAAGTTTTAACTATTTAATGGTTCTTGTCCAGAGTCAGTCCAAATCCCTCCCCCTTTTTCATGTATTAATTGTTGATTTGTTCTCATGTTGTTGTCCTGAATATGCATGAAATATTTGCCACTGGATGTGGTGTTAAGCAAGCAACAATCAATCAGTGAATGTTTTTCGTTACAGCACAAACAGAGAGTGATGATGTTATGCACATTGTTGATAGAACTTCAAAGGCATTACAGTTTTATGCTGCTACAGGAAATATAAAGCAGTTATTATTTGTTCAGCGCCATCTACTCTCAATATCAGATGATAGTGGCGATCTGTAAGTTATAGCTTCCATTATATCTTAAGGATTCATTATTAATCATTGGGTACCAATTTATTGGATTTATGATGAAAAAAGATGAACTGTGAATTTTAATGTTTAACAAAGTATTAATATCCTATCAGCTTATATGCAAGCTAAATGGCAAAACAATTCAAGAATCCACGAAAATACAGTTTTTATTCAAACCACGAAAATTGGTACCTACGAATCCACAGTATTAGAGCAGTGTAAAGAAAGTATACACAGTTTTCGAGTTCTCAGACTATGTCTGACAGCAATTTTGCTTGATTGATCCGATGATGTTTGAAAAAAAATTACTCTTAGTCTTTGACAAAAAATGACATCATTAATGCTGTAAATTTACAGGAAAATATTTTATTTTCTTCAATGGTGAACAAACTTGAAATTGATAAACGGATATTTATCCTATCACTAAAAAATGTAAACTGTGTTTTATTTGTTAGGGTTTTCAACTGTCTTTTTTTTTCTTACACAATAAGTATACAATTTCCAACAATGTGACGTCAGTTCTATTTGAAAATAAGAAAAATGTATAGCATTTATCTTATGCTAATTAAATAAATGAAACATTATATATTTTGATTTTATCTGAAAGGACTTTTCAAATAGAAAAAAAACTTTGCATTTTATTTTGTAGACCTCTACACACAGCCATCATAAATAATCAGTTAGAAGTCATACATAATCTCCTAGACGTCATGTCTACATTACCATACTGTAGATACAAATCTAGTGCTTACAATAGTCTTAGACAGGTAAGTTATAACAGTACTGTACTATAACCAATGTTTAGGGTGGTAGTAATGCCTAGCAATATCCCAACAGTTTATTTTCCAAAAGTCTTAGGTATTAGTTACAACAACAAAACTGAGAATGGAAACGGGGAATTCGAATGTGTCAAAGAGACAAAAACCCAACCAAAGAGCAGAAAACAGCCAAAGGCCACCAATAGGTCTTCAACTCAGTGAGAAAATCCAGCACCCGGAGGTGGGCTTCAGCTGGCACCTAAACAAAAATGTATACCAATTCAGCGAAAAATGGATGTCACACTAAACATATAAATCAACCAAAATTAAAACATGGATCAGTATCAATATATATATTTTCATATCAATTTATTGCATTTTGATGTTATGGCAACTGAGTCTTAATTGCAAAATTAGGGGAAATTTCTCGCTTCTTTTATGGTTAGTTACAACACTTATTTACCATGTATTATATACAAATCTAACATTAATTTATGTAAGGGAATATTTTCATGATTGTGTCTTTGAACATTGCTAAATTAGGGGGAAATTTCCCTTTGTTTTCTACGATAAGTTATAACACCTATTTACCATATATTGAATACAAATCTACATTCATGACAGTGTTAACAACATTATATGACATTTATATTGCAACAATACTATACAGTTATCTACATTGTCAGGATCAAAAGAAGTTTTATAGTAAACTATGGCCAAAAGTATTCATCACCTGTGATTTTTCACTATATTTCATATACTATGTTTTTTTCAAAACATATTATAGGGACATTTCTGGTTGGATTTAAATCAACTTGGTATCAATAGAAGCAGAATTGTCACAAGCCAATTTGTCTATTTGGTTATATTTCTGTTGTGGAGCGTTTTCATTTTCTGATGATATAAACACACATGTATTTTTTTTTGTTCATAAATTTGATATATATTTCAAACAAATTAAACTGTTACAAGTTCATATCAAAAGAAAAGGAAAAAGAATTGATGACAAAACTATGATCAAATAAACAAATATACTTTAGACAATTCTGTGTCTTTTAACACATTCGACTTATTTCACAAAAAATCTTAAGAGAAAAAATACTCGTAAGTCATTAACATTAGTATAACTTACAATCAATTTTTGTCATGAGAGTTTTTGTGAAAAAAAGCCTGTTGCTTCTAAAAATCCAACAGTTAATGCCTTCAAAATAATTTTTTATATGAAATATTTAGCAATAAAGGAAAGATGACGAATACTTTTGGCCATGCACTCTATATTGTAAATATTGCTTACTACAGCTTTAAATAATTTTCAAAAGTACTAGGGATTAGTTTTAGTTTAAGTAAAAGTTTATTCAAATTTCTCCACACGATTTAAACCTAAAACTACTGAAATAAAAAAAATATCCTTAAAGCAATCATTTAAATGCAAATGTAGTAAGAGATACAGGATGTCTTTAATTACAGAAATATGTTTAAAAAAAATTATAACTACGTAATATGCAGTTTTCTTAGGACGCATGAAATTTTAAAGTGTTATTTTCAATTTTTTGAAAGGGGATAATTTTCTGTTTACGTAAGAAATATTTATCAAAATATGTATTAAATGACGTCAAGTACAAATGAACGAAAACAATATTACTCTAAGGTTGTAATATAATTAAAGAATATATGACATCCTGTTATGATATAAAAAATAGTATTGATCATTTAAGGTCACGGATAAGATAAACGAGGTCACTGAAGTGTAACAAATGTCAACTAATCAGAAACCAGCTTGATATTAGAATAAAATTACCTATTTCCCTGTTGTAGAACTCCTTTGTACTTTTTATTAAATGGACAATTTTTGGATAATTTCCTGAAAAATAATCATAAGACTTGATAAAGAAATTATATATATTTTTTTAATGCTCAAATTACCATTGTCCAGATTGATAAAGTAATTCAGAAAGATAAAAAAAAAAGATATGCTTGGAATGCAACCAACTATCAATCAATGACAGCAATATTAATCATATAGACACTTCTTTATTTTTGTTCTCATTTAAATTCTTCAGTTGAATATTTTAATTAGTTCTGTTAAATTTCTGGACCAGGTTACATTTTGTGCAAAAAAATATGTAAAACTTAAAAGTTGAATCATTCTGAACAAAGATCAAGTTATGCTTTCTTATTAAAATATTTTTGATAATTTAAACAAAACTTGTGCCATATTTCGTTTTGGACATTTATGTAAAACATATGACAGAAATATTTAACCAACAAATGTCCCGTAATTTCTCAGATAATTGAACTGTTTTAATGTAACCCTTAAAAATGACAGTTTTATGCACGATCACAAGAGGTGACACAATATTGCTTTTAAGAATCAATCAATGATTTATTATCCTCATTAAATTGATTGATAATTCATTGTAAAACTTAGTTATTGAAGTGATTGACAGTTTAATACAATTTTGCAGACGCCACTTCATTTAGCGGTACTGATGGGACAGCCAAGTGTAGTTGACAGGTTGTTAAATGTTGGAGCTGATCCAACCATGGTTGACAGAAAAGGCAATACCCCTGCACATCTAGCCATATTGTACGGGGCAGATTCATGTCTTGCTATTCTAGTCAGATACCAAAGATGTAATGCAGCCAAAAATAAACCATTCCCAGAGCTAGATCTCAAGAACTTTGATGGTAAGAAAAGTGTCAATGTTGCATTTATTTTAGCATTCGTTGATTAGCGGCATGGTTCTTATAATCATCTGTATATAACAGCATTAAAAGCTTCTTCCTAAAGTAATTGTAATAATGGATCAGTTGAGATAGAATTTGATATAGGCCTGCAAAATTATTAAATGGATCCATAATAAAAATAAAAAACATTTTGGACTTAGCTGCCAGTATAACCACAACGTAAAATGTAAATAGCTCTATAATGAAATGTTTTATTCACTACAGGGGCGGATCCAGTCATTTTTAAAAGGGGGGTTCCAACCATATATCCCCATTCAAAAGCATTGATTGTCAAAAAAAGGGGTGTTCCAACCCCCGGAACCCCCCCCCCCCCCCCCCCCCCCCCTACATCGGCCACTGCACTGCTTGTAATATTACCAGGACAAACACACTTTGGAATTTACAGTAAAATTGCATAGTAATTTGTTAGCCTCTTTTTGAAAAGGCAGGGAGAGACACCTTTGAAAATCTGTATATTCAATTCACTTGTAGGAATGTGAAAATGTCCAACTGTTAATAAGAGAAAGTAATAACCTAGACTTATAATGTATCCATTGAGTAGCATTTGTCATAAATTGTTTCAAAAGGTTACTTAATTAAATGTTATCTGTTTTTGTAGGATTTTCTACTGCCCATCTTGCAGCTATAACACAGAATTGTAATGCTATGAAACTGATATCAAAAGGAAAAGGGAATATAAACATGCCCGATGGTAAGAGTGGAAGAACTCCCCTACATCATGCTGTAGAGAGAGATGATCTAACTACTGTTGGATATCTAATATTAGAGGTAGGAATTGATATGACTAGACCTTGATTGATAATTGTACTTTTACCAATGCAAATGCATGGCTTAAAAAAAATTAATTTGTCGTTTGGTTGCTTAATACCATTATTAAATGCTACATGCATATTCAGGATGTGAACAAATTAAGCATTAAATCAGATAGTTAGATTCCGAAAATGGAAAAATTTGAAATTCCTTATTTACCCAGATGTCCAAGAAAATACATAATTCTACATTCAATGATACAGCAGTTTTACTAATCTTTGATCGTGAGACAAAATGTCAAAAATATCTAAATATACCCCTGGAATACTGATCATAACAAATACTAGTACATTGATATTCATAGGAGTGTAACTTAGATGTTCAGCTATCTAGAGATCATATTCCCATTAAATAGGTCAGCTGAACAATTGAAAAATTAGAGTTAAGTTACCTAGGGAAAGAAGATTTTTTAAAATACTTTTGACATATCTTGTGGCTGCATGCATAACGAAAAATTACCAATTAAGTAAACTTAAGTACATGCAATTATAACTTTACATGAAACACTTTTAGTTTAGTACATTCTTTTTGTACCATGAACTCAAATTGTACTGTAGTACTAAAAATATGGATTTTCCAATGACCTTCATCTGAATATGGATCACAAGTGCACTGTTAAGATATCCCTGGACCTAAATTTAACATGTATCATTCATATACAAGTGGTCACTTGAAATTTAAAGGATATATCTTATATCTTCAATATGCACTTTAAATCTTCAAAACAAACAATGATCCTATTGATGATTATTATACTTTTATAACAATAATCCTTATGGTGATTATTTTACTTTTATGATTTTTCTCATTTTTATAATGGAACATATTTTTTAAATTAAGATCTATGCAACAATTTTTATTGCAAGAAAAATGAAGAATAAATGTGACAACTCATTTACAAAAGGTATAATAGGTGCACATTTCTCAAAAATACTTTTTATGTGATAGAAAAACAAAGGATGTGGGGTATTCATCCATGACACAAAATCAGTAAATGCACAACAAAAAAACACACAAAAAGCAAAGGAACAGCGCTTTTATTGCTGTTCTTCATCTCAAAGTCACAGTGAGACCTCAACATATATGAATTTTGAAATTTTAACATATTTGACTACTGACTACTAAATATAAGAAGGGATTTCAGTTAGAAAAAAAAAAATATTGATATGTGTATCTATGTCTTTAATAAGTGCTTCAGCATATTTGAATTTATAAACTAACAAACTATATGGGTACTCTTTCTACAGGCTAGGGCAAATGTAAATGCATGTTGTTTTGATGGTAATACACCTCTACATGTTGCCTGTGCAAGACAGAATGTTGGTATTGTGGCATTATTGATAGCTGCCGGAGGTGACCCTGAGATGGAAAATGATGAAGTTAAGGAAGAACTGTATGATGAATTTGAGGGAGTTCAAGATGACAAACAACTGGGAGATAGTTCCTCAAGTACCAGTGCACATTTGGATTGTTATAAACCAGAAGATTTTGCTATGGACAATGAAAAGGTATTAGTTCAAACATTTAGATACTGTAAACCATCTAATTTTAGCATGCAATTTATTTTCATGACTTTTGTGAGTAGAAAAATTACACATATGTAAATTGTGGTGAATTAGTAAAAGAGGGATCTTCTTTAAATGAATACTTCAAGAAAATAAGAAAATGGTGAAAATAAATTGTTGTGAAGTCATCTAGAAAGACCTTAGTGCGAAATTGAGTATGCACGAAAAAAAAGTTTGTTTACAGTATGACAATGGCAAAACTGCCTGAGTGAACTATAATGTCTTTAAGTATGATTTAAAAATAAAAATGGGCATATCTTAAGGGCTATTGTTGGAAAGAATCGTGGTATTGGAGACAGTTTTGTTACCCAAGTCTCTCGGTTATATGAAGTTTCATATTATTTCTGAAAATATAAAGATTTGTTCTCTTGAAATCTAAAAGAAAATTATTTAATGTTTCTACATGAAAGTTTGATAATATTTACGTATAGTTGAATTCAAAATAATTTGTATAATTCAGATTTGTTAACTTATTAAAGCAGCTATTTAAGTAGCATGTATACAACATATGTGGACTCTTGTGGATAGTTTTTCATAGACAATCATACCACATCTAATTATTTATATATATCTAGATCATTCATGCTGATTGTGACTATGTTAACATAAGCTAAATTTGTCATTATCTTTAAATATTATAAGTATTGTGAGGTTAAGAAATGTGTGTGCATCTCTTTCAAATATATTATATCAGTGAATGATATTTTGTAGGTTTTGAGAGTACTACGAGGAGAGCCATACTCAAATGTCAAAGAGCTAGATCAAACGAACCGTGACTACATACATACAACAGAATATTTCTCATCGCTATCTATACATGATATACAACTAACAAACCATGAAACTTCAGACCCATCACAGGAAGGTAATATACAACATAGCCTAAATCAAAATTTTGGTTTTCAGTCTCAGTCGTTTTGTTTTAAATTTCTTATACTGTAAATTCAGAATTGTTTGCATGCATTTATTATTGCAATTTAAGGAAATGTTGCAAACAAATAAAGCTATCAAAATTTTAAATGCTACTTTTTATTTTTGCTAAACCTGTCCCTTCACAATCATTACAATTTTTTAACATCAAGACTTCTGAATTTATAGCATAAAGTGAAAGTTAAATTTTCAGACATTCATTTGTTATGTCTGGTCTGGGTTTTTGTGATTGCCTGGTAAATAATGTTTTCAAATGTGCAAAATGATCATAGCCATATATTTCCTTAAATTGAATCATCGTAGTTTGGATTACATTAAGGCGTGAGGCATAACATATTTCTGGTGGGAGAAATTTACAAATTTACTTTATGGATTACTGTCATAATAAATTGTTTCAAACCCTCAAGCATAAATATTCTAAAAAAAAATAGTGAATGAAACATCTAAATAATATAATTATTTCATAATTTGAATGAAGACTGGGGAAAATCTTGTAATTTTTGGCATTGAATGTTAAGTACATAACATTATGAAAAATTTAAATCAGTGATTTGTACTTATGTTTTAGGTGATCTGCATAAGTTGATGTACCCTGTGCGAGTTCAGATTTCTAAAATGTTGGACCCACCATGTGAAGGTGGAGACTGGATTGCTTTAGCTAATGCTCTTGGTTTATTTGAGCTGATGGACAGTCAGAGTTCAGGATACAGTCAGACAAGAGTCTTACTGAATTTTTATGAGGTAAGGTACTTTTCCATATAATTTGACAAAAATATGATTTTACTTTATTTTTCTCTTTAATGAAAGCAATCTCTTTCTGCGATTAGATTTTCATGTTTACCAATAATTTTGTTTTTAAGTTTTGATATACATTGAAAAGCTTGTGTATGTGTTAAGTGTTATTTTAAACCTGGTATACTTCTAAAGTATAATTACCATATGTCCTTCTGTTAAGGTTAGAGTAATGAACACATTTTAAACCACACAGCACATTAAGTTGTTCTGCATTGAGCCATTTTATATAAAATTAATACCAAAAACATTTGAAAATTGAATGCTTTTAAACATTACAAGCTGAACATTTTTTTAATATGGCCTATACAGAAGGGCCAAACACTAACTTAACACATTAATGGTAAATGAGGAACTTCAGGTTTAGTTTCTGGGTTAAATTTATGTTCTTTAAAAATGTAAGCTGTCAGTATATAAATAAAAGAAGATGAGGCCTAATTATTATTGAGATAGCAACCAACCAACATAAAAAGCCAAAAGATAATTAGATGGCAACACATGGTCATCAATACTAGACAGGTGTCTATACAATATATCTAGCTATATATTCGCCAGAGTCTAAAGAAGTCACGAATAAAATAAACAGGGAATTTGATTTTATTCCCGACTTCTTTAGAGTCTGGTGGATAAATAGCTAGATCAACACAAACTGACAAACATCAATAAGATAAGGCAAATCACAACCATTGGCAACATGAATGTGCATAAGAACTGACCTCCACTTGACACATAAAAACATTGTATATTTACAATAACAACACTATATAAATAACACATAGCTGAGACGGTGATAGAGCAGATTGTTACCCCGAGAAAACATTGTCAACTGAGGCGAAGCCAAGGTTGACAATGTCTTTTCGAGGGGTAACAATCTGGTCTATCACCGTCTCAGCTATGTGTTATTTATATAGTGTTGTTATTGTAAATATACAATGTTTTTATGTTATTTAATTTATTATACTGAATGTTCTGTTAGTACTGCCTATTACATTTCAAATTCAAAGTAATAAACTGTGACGTCTTATACATAACAATCATCCGTATTTTATCAAGCGCACATTTGATCAAGCGTCTCCGTGAAGGGTAATAGAGTGTTTGCCATAGGATAGAGTAAATTGTCTCCCTCGTATTAACCAATCAAAATCAGGAATTTTGACATGACGTATGATAATTTAAATGATTTGACTTTTTACAGGAATATGGAGGAACAATCTCTTACCTAATGGAATGTTTAACATCAATGGGTAGAATGGATGTTGTATCATTGATATCACAGTATCATTCATCTAGTAAGTATTCTGTAAGAAAAAAATAAGGAAATTTGATAAGGTGGGTCTTGCAATTTTCATTTGAGGGAAAACAGGTTATTTTTGTATTTGTTTAGGACTATTCCATTTTGATATAACCTCTAGCCAAGGAAAGCAGACAATTTCCTAGCAAAACACCAACTGATTTAGAGGAAATATTCTACTACTTTCGTATACATGTAGATAAAATTTCTCAAAGGCAGCCATGCATAGAAGTGTTTTAAGTGCGCCTTCCTTTATTTTCTATTTTTCTATTTTTTGGGAATTGGAGGGGAACGATATTTGGTGAATTTATGAAAACAAGACCAAATTCACCAAAAGTGAAAATTGAAATTAAGACCATATAAGTCTATTTGAAAATATGGGTAATAATTGATGCAGATATTATCTTATCTTGTGCATAATATCTGCTCAACACCTGCCAGTACAAAACTTATGAATTTGATGACTTTAATGATAAAAATAAGGAGATGAGGTATAATTGCAAATAAGACAACTATCCACCATAATCTATATGACATGGATGTAAGCAACTATAGGTCACCATATGGCCTACAACAATGAGCAAAACCCATACCTAATGATCAACTATGAAAGGCCCCAACATGACAATTCAAATGAGAAAATCAACAGCCTGAACCAATGTAACAGGGTTGTCAAACTGATATGTAGGAGATTTTGTTAACATTTCATTAAGGTTAGAAGTTTATTAAATCGTGACAGGCACTCCAATATCAAATATCAATAAATTGACAACCATCAAATTATGCAAAATGATAGAATATGATATAAAACAAAAAAAAAGCAAAAAGAATAAACCTTGACTACCATGAATGCATCTATTTTGTATGTTAGTTTTATAAATTTATGATATTGTGAAATATTTATTGTATTTTCCATTTTTTCTTATTTTAGGTTCATTAAAGAAAAGTAGTACAAATATAAACTATTACGATTCAGGATTGAGTTCCGGTGATGTCAAACCATTACAGACTTTAACGGCAGCTACATAATCATTTATCATCTATATCTTCATTATCCTGTATATGATCATAAACAACTTTTTTGTCTTGTTTACTTGTTTTAAATCACACGTTGGTTGAGTTATTTTTATTGACTACATGGATTTGTTTTATTAATTATCAGTTATGAATTTATTTTACATCAGTTCATATTTTATGATTATGAATTGACAATTAATTATGTAGATGGTCATATGTGCTGTATATAAGACTATAAACATGTCATGTTTTGATAAGGTAGTTTTACAACCTTGATTATGCCACGATCAGAAAAAGAGAGGGAGACAGTGAGGTCAAAATTTAGTACTATAGGTAACCAAGGGACCATGATAGAGTAGTATTATTTATAGTGATGTCATTTTAAATGAGAAAAAAACATGAATTTTGCTAAGAACAACTGAATTGTAAAAAAATACTTCAATTTGTATTGTGCAGAAATTGTATAGCAGTAGCATTTTGGTATATTTTTATGTTGTTCATTAGTTAAACAGAATTTGATATTGCTCATGTAAAATAAATATATATGTATTTTTGAGTTTTTGATTGAATCTAGTTATGTCAATAGAGTGTATAAAGGTCACCCTCAGGACCAGAGCAAACTTATCTTATAAAAGAGGTGACCTTTGAATAGAGGTTAAAAATGTATAGTTATTCATACAACGGAACAAGAAGAGGATAACCTGAGAAGAGAGGTTTTCACTTGACAGGTGTGAACTTCATATACAAATAAGAAGATGTGGTATGATTGCCAATGAGCCAACTCTCCACCAGAGACCAAATGATGTAGAAGTTAACAACTATAGGTCACCGTACGGCCTTAAACAGTGAGAAAACCCCATACCGAATAGCAAGCTATAAGAAGTCCTGAAATGACAAATGTAAAACAATTTTATAGCAGGTTTGACTTAATTTGTTTTTTTCCTTTACCACCCACAGGTATCTTTGATACTCTTGTTGCCAAGGCAAGGTTACTATCGACCAGATTTTGTGTCTGAAATATGAGAAATATGTTTTCATGGTTCCAGCAAATTCTTATTGAACTGATTTTATAAACAATCCAATTTGATGGGAACAGTTTTAGTTGACATTATTTCATGGAATAAGTTTTGTTTTTGTTTCCGTTCTCCAACTTAAGTTTGCCACAACAAATGTTATGTTATTACCACCAAACACAGATCAAGTTCTAATTTGAGTGGCATCGCTTTCACTGTTCTCTAGTTATGTCCCTTTATAAATGAAAAAAATATTTTGAATTGTTTCCGCACTCTAACTTTACTTTGCCTCAACCAAATGTTATGAAACTCACACACTGCTTATTACCACCAAACACAGATCAAGTTCAAACTTGAGTGTAGTCACTTTTACTGTTCTCGAGTTATGTCCCTTTATGAATGGAAAAATTGAATTTGCCATTTCCACACTTATATAAAAATAAGGAGGTGTGGTATGATTGCCAATGAGACAACTATCCACCAAAGTTCAAATGAAGTGGATGTAAGCAATTATAGGCAACCATATGGCTAACTTCAGTTTGCCTCAACTAGATGTTAAGAAACTTATACACATGGCTTATTACCAAACAAAAATAAAATTTGAATTAAGTTGGTGTCACCTCATCTTTCTTGAGTATGTCCCTTTATATATGAAAAAATTGCTGAATTTGCCATATATTTTAAAGCCTGAGAACCACAAACCTTCTGCAGGAAAGCCTGTTATCCTAGCCAATCAGAGTTCAAAGCACCTTGCTTTGAGCAGGGTTCAAACTCACAACCTCAGGTGAACATTGTAGATGAGCCTCTTAGCCCTTAGACCATTTGGCCACCAAGGCCCCTGAAAGGTAATGCTTTTCAGGTGAAATTTGTGACATTTTAAATGGTACCACTTCAGATTGGTTGACAGGATGACAGCAATTTATTAGTATCACTTTATATCTGTCATTGGTCATCTTTTGAACTTTTTTATATTGAATGTCTTAATTTGTAGGAAGTAAACTACAGAAGAAGAAGTATACTTAACAACAAAATTATTTTCATTTAGCTGTGTATAATATGATGCAGGTTTCTTCAAAAGTGATGATTTTCTAAAAATTGTTTGACATTTCACAGTGATATCATACTTTAACTTTGTTTAAACCTGTTTATTTACTTTTGACTTTAATTATTTATCCCTTGTAATTTTTTATTAACTGTGTATTTGCATTCAGGTGTCACAGGTCAAATTTATTCGTTCATTGTGTGTTAATTTACGTTTTTTGATTGAGTTAAGCCTTCCAATTGATATTTTATAGTGTGTTTTTCTATGTTGTGATGTTATACTATTGTTTCAGAAAAGGGGAAAGGTTTGGTACCATTAAAAAGTTAAATCCCGCTGCAAATGTTTGCCCCTATCTTAAGTCAGGAATCTGATTACAGTAGTTGTCATCTGTTTATGTAGTTCATACGTGTTTCTCGTTTCTCGTTTTTATATAGATTAGACTGTTGATTTTTCCGTTTGAATGGTTTTACACTAGTAATTTTTTGGGGCCCTTTATAGCTTGCTGTTCGGTGTGAGCCAATGCTCCGTGTTGAAGGCCGTACCTTGACCTATAATGGTTTACTTGTAAATTGTAACATGGATGGAGAGTTGTCTCATTGGCACTCATACCACATCTTCCTATATCTATTGACCGTAATCATACATAAATAATTTATGTTACAAAATTATCCAACTTTCCATGGACTCACTGATTTGCTTGTTATTACCCCCGGCACTATTAAGAATGATCAAAAAAGAATATGAATAAATTGGTTTGAATAATGCTCAGAAGAATGTTCCTTACAAATAAAAAAAAAAGGACATGTTGTAGGGTTGACAATGGGACAATTATCAATGAAGACCACAGGACAAAGATGTGATCAATTAAAGAACACACAAGGTGAAAATAATTATCAATATATAATTTAAAGATTCAGCTTGAATTTTGGTGCTCATACTTGAAGATGTAGATGAGGTTAACAGTATGAAAATAATGGGCAAAACTTACAGAATTAGTAAGAAAAAAATAAAGAATAGAGAAATGTAGGCAAAAACAAAGAATAAAGAATAATGGGGTACTAAAATATAATTACAGCCAAAAAATTATAAAATAGAGAAAATACACAAATGAATACTCCCCATCCAGACCCTCATACTTAAAATCTTACAGTAACAATAGGATTGAATGAAAGAAAAGAAACTTGTTTGTAAAACAAATCTGCTGTATAGTCCAACAAATAATAAAACTACTCTTAAAAATAAAAAATGTCCTCTGATTAGTCAGGTTGTCTGTAATGAATGATAACATGATTTTTTAATACATTTGTTTTATCAAATTATCAACAACTGCATTTGCATTTTATTTATTTTATTAACAGTAACTCCTTAATATATATCTGACAATAAAACAATAGAAAAGATAAAATATCATAACATCACATAAATGTAAAACATAATACATGTTCATCATATAATAAATATAGTATAAAAAAATACCAACATGACAGCAAATAGTAAAGTTGGATAATGATGCCCTTAGGACTATATACTGATGGATAAGAATATAAAAGTAAAAGTAAATAAGAGTAAATAGTTTATTATCAATGAAGAAGACTAAATAAAAAAATGCTAAATTTTGTTTTACATGCTCATTTCTCTTGTAAATCATGCTCTCTGACTCCCCATGTCGAAAGTAGATTTTCTTTTGGTGTTTTTTTTTTTTTTTTGTGTTTTAACACCACTTTTAAGCACCGCTTTTAGGCTATTTCGTGGTGGCCAGTTTTTATTGGTGGAGGAAGCCGGAGTGCCCAGAGAAAAACAACCGACCTTCGTCAGTAGATTAAAATGACCTATAATTCATACTGGTTGGGATGTAATATAACCCACCAAATGTCTTCCCATTTGAGCTCTACATTTCAGTGTTCATATTTCAGGTAATAATTTAAGATGTTTACTGTAAATTCAGAAATTATTGCGATGTTTTTATTAATGCGAAAAATGCGACAGGGTTATAATCGCAAAAATTTAAACTCGCATTTTGAAATTTTTTTTTATTAATTGAATTAAACACGATTTTTCTCAATATCGCAAAAAATTTAAATCGCATTTTAGTCTAAAATGACAAAGTCGCAATAATAAATGCACGCAATAATTTCTGAATTTACAGTAATTTGTTTTAAATTGTTTGATGCATTTAGGGTAAGAGGGAAGATTATCAACTTCTTGACAACCTTTGATTCAAGTGATTCAAGTAAACACTAAAGTTAACTTTATATCTTGAGAACACAGTTTATTTGTTAGTGTTAAAAACCACTTTCAGCGGCATTGGCTATATCATGATCATGCCGGAAATTTTTATTGGTTGAGGATTCCTACTACTTGAAAACTAGAAAACCTTGTCAATTTTGATCGCCTGATCAGAGTTTAACACTCCTCCTCGCCACTAGTAGTATTTTAACTTATGACCTCAGAGTTGACTTATGACCTCAGAGCTGAAATATGACCTCAGAGTTGACAGGCTAGTGCTCACTGTAGATGGCCCACTAAGACCATTTGGCCACGTAATACAAAGTAAAGGAACGTCTATATAAATCATATAAAGGGGTATGTAGGCAAAATTTGTCTCTTTGCTTAGTTGAGCTGAGTTCAAGACTACGTGAAAGGATGAATCAATACAATGAATTTTAATAAGGGTAAATTTTTGGAGAAGATTAAGGGGAGATTATTCTCATCTTGAAATGAAAATTAAAATCTTACAAATTTACTTCTACAAGTAAATTTGACTTAGTATAAGTTTAAGTTTGACAGACCGTAAGATGTAGAATCATATACACTTTTATTTAAGCACTGACGTCACATGTCGGCATCCAAACATGTTAAAGTCAAAGTTAACTTCTTTTCATGATTCATTAACTTACTTAAAGTTAATTTCAGAATTAAATATTTTGATACTGTAAACTTGTTTCAATAGGAAAATTACCATTAAGCTCATGTAATTTGAAGAAAAAAATGCTTTATTGACCTTCATAACAGGTTTCTAGTTATGTTTTCATAACAGTCCTGTTACTTGGTTTGGAGATGTATCAATTGCAGTCTAGTTATCCAATCTTATTAAAAATCAGATCTCTGCAATGGCTCCTTTTTTATAGTCCCACCACAGCAACCAAGCATAAAAGGATGCAAGTGTGGAGATCTAATTTACAATATGATTATCTATCATAGTATTTTCAATCAATTATTAGTGATGGAATAACATAGTGAAGTTTATAATCACATTAAACAAGTGTTTAAAAATGGACTCAAATGATCATGATCATGATGATTGATTCAGATGTTGTTATACCTTAGTCAGAACAGAAAATTTTGCTAAATTCCTTTTATTTTGTTTTATTTCAATATCAAAATAAGTAATGTTCCATCAACATGCTCCCTTTAAATTCAGAATAAAGTATCTTCCCTGCTTTATACCCTGCTGCCGCACAAGACATTGGTATAGGTAAAAAATGGTCTATTCTTGGATGTGCAGATCTGAGAAAAGACTGGGATTCACTTGCTAAAAGTTTGGCTTTTCTCTGTTCTGGTGTGTAATCTGGATTTGTGACAACATCTTGGATCCATTTCTGAAACTGAAGAGCCCAGTCAGCTGGTTTATTATCGAACAGACCAGCATGAGTAGCAGAACCACTTCCAACAATGAGAATTCCATCTTTACTTAATTCTGATAAAGCCTCTCCTATTTTCATGTTTTCTTCTATTTTCATACTGCTCAGCAATGACACCTGAAAAACTAAAGGATAAACACAATGTTACTAGTTAAACAAAGTGACAAATTTGCAATAATTTGATTTCAATCAATCAAGCCAATATACATATATGAATGGAACGTTAAAAAAATCATCAAAACTGAATCTAAAAAAGAATATAATCAAATTTGGAAAGGATCAGTTGAATAATTTCAAGTTGGCACACTGAAGTCCCAAAAAGGCTGTCAAGCATTAGATCAACCTAGTACTAACTTCATCCCTTTGCATATCCAGATTGAATTATAATCATGATAATATATACCAGAAATCCATTTCAAATGAAAAAAGTAAAAAAAGAATATCAATTTAAAAACACATCAATTTTTCAGAACTACTGTACTACAAATCAAGTGACTTAATCTAAATTAAACAAATGAACGTTTCCATTAAAAATTTGAGGACAATACCTGGGACGTCTGCCTTTGGGAAAGCCAATTTCAATGGAACAAAGACACCATGATCTAAGCCTCGTTTTTTATTTTCCTCACACTGAATTCCTTTTGATTCCAGTAAAACTTTTAAATTTTTAGCTTCAGTGAGAGCTCCGGGAACATCCCAATTAAGTTTGTAAGCTTCTGGCGGAAACCCACTGTAATCATAATAAAGCTCTGGTTTACTATTCATTTGTACTGTACATATATTCTCATCCCAGTGGGCACTCAACACTATTATTGCCTTTGGTGGTTTCTTTAAATTTGCATTCTTCGTTAAATCTTTAAAGAACTTTGCACAATTTGAGTGTTTGTCAATCCCTTTGCACCACTTTTCTTTACTGGCATCCAGATAAAAACATGGTCCAGCTCCATGCGTAAGGAATATGACAGGCTGCTCAGACATCAAAGAAAGTTAAGATGAAACGGTATCTTCTAGAAAGTTTCAAAAAAATTCATAGTAAAGATATGTTTACAAATGTTAAAAGATACTAAAATTGTAACAAATGTTCTACATTTTCCACTTTCACTTTCGTTTTACCGTTTCATCGACCTTCACCTTTTAAATCATTTTCTCCTTGGTGCGTTTTAATTACCGTGAAAATTAGTTTCCATTTCAAACATCTTATCGATTAATTTATTTCGACGGGGCGATGGCGACTTTCATAGACGTCAACCTCGTTAAATATATCTGTGGATGTGGAAAAAAGAAACCAGTTTGCAAGCTGTATTTATGCAGACACTGTCTTAAAATAAGATGTGGAGACTGTGTTCTACACGAGGTGAACAGATTATGACCATAACTGTTTGAATGACTCATCATACAGTGCCCAACACCACAGACACTGTCACTGTCTTCATGACACACAGTAGATGTTACGAACTGAATGCAACCACTTGTGGTTGAGTAGCAATTCAAATTTGTTTTTTTGTCAACTGCAGTGCACCAAAAACGCAAACATGCACTGCCAATGCTATGTCATGTCATTTTTTCTAGATTTATAGGTGAAAGACGTTCCGTAGTCCAAAGATTTATGACTCTTGAAAAATGCTTGAACGGCTATTTTATTTTTTTTTTTTGTGACGCCTTCACAGAAAAAAAATTAAACAGCCTTTCAAGACGTCATAACTATTTGGACTAGATGTTTCAGTGACACAGCCAGTTTGGCCACAGTCGTTTCCGCCATACTTTGTAAATGATAAAATATATGATTGATTTTAGAAATAGACGTTCATAAATAAATGGAAAGATACATTTCAAAAATACATTTATATGCATTGATAAAAATGTGTATACATTATGATTGTTATACACTGTTATAAGAATATTCGTAACATAGTGATTTTTGATAAAAAATGAACTTTTAATATACAGTACCGAACAAGATATTATAGTTATTTAATAAGTGAAGAAGATTGTTGGTCTAATCATAGTAACAATAGTGATTCCTCTGATCATTTGTTAATTGTTTGTTATCATTTCTTTGATATATCTAAAGCATTAATTATTCTTTAAGATAACTATGAAACACCAGGTTCAGGCTGATACACTTAACAAACAGTTGATGAATATATTATTATAACAATATAAGCTGCTTGAGAAGCCCTTTGAAGTACCAACCTTGCAGCATAAATGAAACTCAAAATGCCTGATTCAGATTATTTCGGAAAATTGGTGTAAACAATATCATAACTGTATATAAAAATAAGAAGATGTGGTATGATTGCCAATGAGACAACTCTCCACAAGAGACCAAATGACACAGAAATTAACAACTATAGGTCACCGTACGGCCTCCAACAATGTGTAAAACCCATACCGCATAGTCAGCTATAAAAGGCCCCAATATGAAAAATGTAAAACAATTCAAACGAGAAAACTTACAGCCTTATTTATGTACAATAATGAACATAAAACAAATATGATATACAGCAACAAACGACAACCACTGAATTACAGGCTCCTGACATGGGACAGGCACATGCAGAATGTGGTGGGGTTAAGCTAGTTTGGAGGCATGCCAACCCTCCCCTAACCTGAGGCTGGGACAGTGGTGTAACAGTACAACATGAGATATATGTCTTGCATATTATTTTAAATTGTCTTAATCATGTGGACTTATGAAAGTCTTGTGTCCTCTTGTTTCAGAGCAGATTTATATTTTTATGACAAAATAACTTTTTGTTAAGTAATATTTCTTTTCAAAACAAACTGCTGTCAAGACAATTAATGCATATAATATGTGTTGAGAACAACATTAAAAAGTATGGCCGAAACAACTATAACTGAACTGGTACTGTGGCCGAACTGGTTTTATGGCAGAAAAGTCGAAAGACTTTTGATAAAAGGAATTGAAACAATTTTGTTTTAGTGAATAAGATCTGAAAGCTCAATATCTTATCATCAAAATCTAGTTCTCTCTTAATAGCCTTTACAGTTATTGCTTGGCAGCAAAGGGGGTTTAACTCTCAGACCACATTTGTTATGTGCCTGTCCCAGTCAGTAGCCTGTAGTTCAGTGATTGTTGTTGGTTCACATTTTGTCATGTCTGGGACATTTTATAGCTGACTAAACAGTATGGGTTTTGGTCATTGTTAAAGGCCATATGGCAGAGTTCTCAAAATCTTTTTTTGCCTGGTGGTCCTTGAAGAAAATATGCAGGTCCTCACTATCATTTCTACTGCAAATTACCAAAATTGTGTTTGTCCTTCCCAAAAATGTGGTGGTCAAATCCCTAGGACCACCACTTATCTAGAACTCTGATGATATGGGGACCTACAGTAACTTACAATGTACATCCATCATTTTGACTTTGATGGATACATTGTAGTTTTTTCGCAGACAATCATACCACATCTACTTATTTTAATATTGTTACTGGTGACTGAAAAATTTCAAATAGTCATGCTTTCTCAGCACTAGTGAATGATAATGTAAATGTACATAGATATAAGAAGATGTCGTATGAGTGCCAATGAGACAACTCTCCATCCAAGTCAAAATTTATAAAAGTAAACCATTATAGGTCAAAGTACGGTCTTCAACACGGAGCCTTGGCTCACACCGAACAGCAAGCTATATAGGGCCCCAAAATTTACTAGTGTAAAACCACAAACAGGAAAACCAAAGGTCTAATCTATATAAAAAACGAGAAACGAGAAACTTGCATGTATCACAGATTTAAGTTATGTCATTAAAAGTTGCAATGCAATAAACCAGAGTAATAAAAAGTTTTTCCTATAAAATTGATATCCATCCATGATATTACAGAAATACAAAACTGTACATGTCATAAAAATAAGTAGATGTGGTATGATTGCCAATGAGACAACTATCCACTTAAGTTCAAATGAAGTGGATGTAAGTATCTAAAGGCAACCATATGGCCTTCAACAATGAGAAAAACTCATTCCGTATAGTCTGCTTTAAAAGGCCCAACATGAAAAATAAGAACTAATTTAATTGAGAAAACTAATAGCCTAATTTATTACAAAACAGTTTACGAAAAATAAATATGACAGACATGAACCAACGACAACCACTGAACTACAGGCTCCTGTCTTGGGACAGGCACTTATAGAATGTGGTGGGGTTAGATGAGTTTGAAAGCGCCAACCCTTCCCTAACCTGGGACAGTGGTGTAACAGTACAACATAAAAACAAGCTATAAAAATCTGTTGAAAAGGGCTTAACTCATCGGATCGATACAAAGCAGAAAAACATCCAACAAAAACACATCCCAGATGTGGCAGGGTATTTATACATCCCTAAAAACAACAAAGACACATAGTACAGATCTGAGAGTAATTGCAGTTACTGACAGCAAGTTCAAAGCCAATAACAAAATTATAAAAAAATCTTCACTAAAAATTGCCAAAATTCTAGAAAAACTGTGAGTCTCCAAAGACGCATTTAAATTGGATCTGTTGAGTCCTTTTATCATTATTTCTCTGCAGAAGTATTAAAACAAATTAAATTTAATTTTCATGTTGTTTTAACGAAGGAAGACATTGATAGAGGTTGATTGGCTCTGGGCTTAAAAAAAATGTGAGTCCTTGGACTTTCCTGGAATAAAACCATAGAACATTTGAATTATATAATAGACCTGTAGTTATCTTTTAGACTGATTTTTTTCTAGAATAACGAGTATTTTTAATTTGATAGGTGGATACACCATACTGCCCAAATTGTTTGGAGAACATGCCTGCAGCTGAAGCTAAACTGAAAAGGAATAGGTAATAATTTAGTTACAATCATTCAAGAAAAACAGTATTTGAAAGTGACAGTGTTAGTTTTGATCAAATATATGGTATATGTATGCCTGATATTCTCGAAATTCCTGATAAATTGGATGAATTTAAAGATTTGTCTAGAAGTAAAGTAATGACTGAATAAAAACTGGATTGTGGGATAAAGTTCGTTTTTTATTACAATTTGAGGAAATGTTGCATAAAACAAAAATGACGATATCAAAATCAAATTGTGAGTTTTTATTATTGCTAAACCTATTCATTTGCATCATAAAACAAGGATTCATTTATTTTTGTGGATTGAGGAAAATGTATTTTCTTTGATATTAGAATTTGCTGGATTTGAAGAAGGCTGCAAGCCTATAGAAAATGTTTACTTGGTTGAACATTTGAATTCATGGTTCACCTATACCAACTTGACAAAATCAACAAAAATTGGTATCCCACGAATTATAATGAATCCACAATAAAAACATTAAAGATTCAATACATGTAAATGTTTAATTGCATATCTGGAAAATCTTATATGACAAACATTCATGATTTGCTTCTGAGATGTGACATGGTCCTTAAAAAAATGGACATGTGATAGAGACCTTTCCAGAACCAAATCATGAATGTGATTTTGTCAGTCAAAGCATTTCTCCAGAAATTCCATTGGTCATCAACTTATTTATTAACAATACAAATCATATTCCGATTTGTAGGTGCAGTAATTGTTTTGATTGTCCTAACTGTGGCCATACTCTGACAACAAGAGCCACTAGTCATGCTGTTTCTAACCCAGAAGATCCTAACAAGTCTACACCAAAGAAGATGTTTTATATGGCGTGTGGATTTTGTAGATGGACTACAAGAGATGTGGGAATTGCTGATAAACCTGCTGGTATGTAGTAATGATTTACTGTAAGTTCAGAAATTTTTGCCATGTTTTTGTTACTGCGAAAAATGTGACAGGATCGATTCGCAAAAATAAAACCCCCATTTTAAATTTTGATATCATTACATGTATTAATATATAGCATTTCCAGAAATCACAGTTATAACTCTCACATTTTTTACCACTGCTTAACAATTGCAATTTCAAAAATAAATGCACATAAAAATTTCTGAATTACAGTATTTAAATTTTATAACAACCAACCAGTTCTGGAGGCAAATCTGTAATTCTGTCCTTCTGAAAATCCAACAGCTGTCCAGACTATTTTCCTTTATTCCTGTATATATTTTCGGTTGATTAGCTTATCATGGTGAGTTACAGATCAAGGTTGTGTTTCATCTAAATGGCATACTTTTCCCTCCTTTATGGATAAGTCTGAATGACAGAGTTGAAAGAAAGTTTTAAAACTTGTTTGCTTTATAAATGATAATACCCTAAAAAGCTGGATGTTAATTTGCAACTTTTAATTAAATTTCCGCAAAAACTAACAATGAATATCTAGTATTTCAAGCATTTTTCTGAATATAAAAAAACACAAATGATAGAACTATCAACTACACCAGTATCCATGGTATAAAAGGTCTGAAAAACAGTAGTTACTTTTGCTGGCAATCAATATATCAGCTGAGAAGCAATGTAATTGTGAATGCTGCATCACCAGTAGACTATATTGGGTATAAAGATGATATGTTTATATAAAAAACCTTTTTTTTTGGCAGCAAGTGGAAATTGGGAAGACAAAGATAATCCACATCAAAAGAGGGTAAGCTACAATTATTGGGATTGAAATTTTAAACTCAGATTAAGTTTTACTTTAACTTTCTTGAAGAACAGCAATAAAAGCACTTTTCCTTTCCTTTTTGTGTTTTTTGCTGTGCATGTATTGATTTTGTGTCATGGATGGATACCAGATATCCTTTTTTTTTCTCTATTTTCTATTTCAAATATTAGTTTGTTCTTGTCCTGAATATGCATAGTCCTGAAATATTTGCCACTGGGTGTTATTTATATATAACATTCATTATGCTGAAATTTGAAAAGTGTGAGAATTCCATTTAATCTTTTCTTACTGGAATATTATATATTTCTCTTTTGCTTTTTACTTCGGGTTCATTGCAATGACATAAATTTTAGTTTCAGAATCAAGTGGAATATTTTTTATCCTGAAAATACATAAAATATTAATGTAGTAAGGAGCATATAATATTATAAATCCAGAAATTTTTGCAATGTTTTTATTATTGCAAAAATCCCTACTGGATAGGTTTTGCAAATGTTAAAAACTCCCATTTTAAATTTGAAAACATTATTGTATGCAACATTCCTGAAAACGCAATAATTAATATAACATTTTCATCCATTTTACAACAATGATGCAGATACTACAATAACCAGCAAAATAATTAGTAATATGAATTAAGGATGTTTGCTAATCTTCTTTTTGACTTTATGTCAGATATTTGCAATCATCTGGTTTTATCTATGTGCCCGCTAACCTTTACTTTTCTATTAATAACTTTCTTACTTATAGTTTTAAAAGCCATTTTTGAAATTTTAGAAATTCCTTGTTAATTTCATAGTTTTTAAAAGAAAAAAGGTGCCAATGATAAGTGTATGAAAAATCTAGAGAGAATCATTTCCTGCCAAATTTTCAATTGTTATATCTCAAACACAAGGACATGGACCTTGCAATTTTTTCTGCTTCTTTAGTTCCGTTATATATATACATATAATATCAATTTAAAACTGTCTCTTGAATAGCTTGTTATTTTGAAACAGAGTAGGGAACATCCTTAAATTTAATTTATAGATTTTTTTTTTAATCTGTTAAAATAATGAATAAGGAAATGTCTAGATAAACTTTCTGCAGTTACATAATACAGTGCCTTGCAGACTTTTGTATGGCTACTTTACACAATAAAAAACCATTTCATAATGTATCACGTCATGAAGCATACATATGAATTACATCATTTTCAGTGATTAAGTTCAATTTTTTTTAAATATTTTTTTAGATCTTGTCCTTATTAGAAACATACCAACAAATTGCCCAGAAGGAAAAAGCTGAAAAAGAAAGGAAGAAATATGTGAGAAGGAGGAGTTATCTTACATATGCTGTAAGTTATTGAAAAAAAAATGAAATGAGAAATCTTATCCCTATGTTAAAGATATTACAAAAAGTTACAGGGAAGTATACTATGAGTCAGGTGTTATCTATGAAAGAGGATGAAGTCCTTAGTGTTTTCACTAAACTTTTTGGTAATCAGATATCCGTCAACAGGATAATTCCCAAGTGCAAATATTATAAAAAAACTAAACAGTCTTCAATTCACTAGTAAAATGATTTTTCTTTTTATTGATTTTCTTACCATTAATGCGGAATTGTCCACATATTTAGTTCACAGTATTGCATGTCAGCCTAGCTGCAGTACAATTTACCTTTATCCATCAAAAATTTAGGACTTTTAGATAACTTTATAAAAAATTCTATTAATGTTTTCCTTTGAGGAAGTTTAAAAAGAACCTATAAAAGTAATAGTTTTTGTCTTGCCTGCAACAAAAGCTGCTGAAGGCATGACATAGATGTTGCTTTTCCGACTATGACGTTAGGTGGCGATAACAATTGTTAACTTTTCTGCTAAAGTCAGTTTGATAGGAACTGCTTGTGATAAATCAATGATATTTTGTATAAAGTTGCATTACTAATAAAAAAATACTATTACTACATGTCAGTTTGATGACTATTTTGAGGCCCTGCCCCATAGGTCATGGTCTAGTGACTTTGAAATTAATTTTCAATGTTAAGTTTTCTGCATATGTTAATTTGACAGGAACTACTTGTGATAATAGATCAATAATATTTTGTATAAAGTTGCATTGCTATCAGTACACATGAGTTTGATGACTATTTCGAGGCCCTGTCCCTAGGTTATGGTTCAGAGACTTTGAATTAATTAGCAATGTTGCTGTCCATCAGATTGGTTTTTTTTTTCGAATTTTATATCTCTGTCAACAGTACGGCCTTCAACAGTACAGATAACCCAGACAATGGCCAGAAATGAGTAAACAACACAATATTTTAAGTCAAATTGAAGAAAAGAAAAAAAGACTGATTATTTTAAAAGGAAGATTTATTTTTAGGCTGGTATGGATAAATATGGAATGGTTTCTGTAGCAGCCAAGAGGAAAGGATTGTTGGCATCTCCTAGTACTGGTGGGTAGGTACCTCATACAGTGTAGGAACCTTAAAAATGAAAAAAGGGCTATATTTTTCTAGGTGTCTCTAAGTTGCGAGGTCATATAGAGTTACCTACATCAATTATTCCTTCACTTGAATTTTCTTTTTATGTTCCTGTTGATATTCATTTCTAGAATAAAGACTAAAATAATGTCTTTTTCCTGAAAGTTAAAAGATTTATTGATTCTTTTGTTGTTGTTTAAGGTGGTACCCAACACCTTGACTAATATTAATTTGGCTCGTTTAATTTTCATAAAATTTTGACAAAATGTTTACTTTGACCCTTTGACAAAAATATAAAAAATTCAAAAAATTTGAACCAACCACTTTATCAGAAAAATTTCGTTGGTTATATAGCAGTTTGACAAACACTAATTTTGATCATTGAGAAGCTTAATATTTCCTTAACAATACAACGTAATTAAAACGTTTAGCTGATTTTTACAGAGTTATCTCCCTGTAGTGTTAGGTACCACCTTAATGCCACTTTCAGCACACTTGACTATATCACGGCAGTCAGTTTTCATGTGTGTAGGGAAGCTGAGTTACTAGAGAGAACCACAGACATTGGGTTAGAAAGCTGTCAATCCTATGACATGTAATAAATTATATTTGCTTTGTATTTCAGGTCAAAAGATGAAGACACTGTTATCTCCCCTGTGGAACCATCTGACACGGTTACAACCTTTGAACCATTACAAGATGAGATATTTACACAGGAGTTGCATTTAGAAAATAGTATGTTTATGTCATCCTACAAGTAAATAGACCCTCTTATGTAGTGTATTTTGAAAAGATACCATAGAAAATAGAATTATCTCCCTTTTACCAAAATTCTTTGTTTAACAACAGGGTTTGATGTTATTTCTGAAATTCAAACATCAGATCACCCTTATTTGAAAAAAAATCAATCTCTGATCATGTAAATAGTGACATTTTTTGTGCAGGATTTAAATCATATGAATTATTCCCCTTTGACCAACAGTCTAATATCTTCTTAAGTTAGAGCTTTTATGATCATACACATATTTTGATGTTGAACTGTAAAATGTACCAAGATTTCAAGACATATTTTTGAATCATAGACAATTTTAACACCAGTTTATATGAAGGGAAAGTGTAATAAAAACATTTTACATGTATTTCTTTTAAAAAAAAGACTTATGCATAGAAAAATTAGCTTTTTTTTAAAAAAAAACTTGTTTTTCGTTCACCTGTTCTCATCACTTGCCATATTTGTCGTCGTTGTTGTCCATTAACTTTTACAAAAATCTTCTCCTCTGAAACTACTGAGCCAAATTTAACCAAACTTCACAATCATCATTGGGGGTATCTAGGTTTAAAAAATGTGTCCTGTGAACCCTCCTGCCAACCAAGATGCCTGACATGGCTAAAAATAGAACCTTGGGGTTCAATGCAAATTTTGCTTATTATTTTGAAAACTGCTTTGAGAAAGTCTGACTGGAGCAAAAATGTTCAGAATGTTGAGTTCTAACTATTGTTCTTGTATGTTGAAACTGTCAGACGACTTCTGATAGAGGTTATTGCTCTTTAAAAGATGACAAATTTCACCATTTTTAAAATGTTTTCCCTATTATCTCGAAAATTATAATAGATACACAGAAACTTTAAGTAGCAAAAATGATCAGCAAGACAAGATCTACAACTAAGTCAACATAACCAAAATCGTCAAACTACTCTTATTAGAGTTATTGCCCTTTAATGACGATTTTTACCAAGTTTTTGCATATTTGCCTAATATCTTAAAAATTATAATAGATAAATAGAAACTTTAAAAAGCAAAAATGATCAGCAAGATAAGATCTACAAATAAGTCAACATGACCAAAATTGTAAGTCGACTCCTTATTGAAGTTATGGCCTTTTAATGACGATTTTTCCAATTTTTCCCCATTTTTAGCTCACCTGGCCCAAAAGGCCAAGTGAGCTTTTCTCATCACTTATCGTCAGTCGTCTGTCGTCGTTAACTTTTAAAAAAAATTTCTTCTCTGAAACTACTGGGCCAAAATTAACCAAACTTGGCCACAATCATCATTGGGGTATCTAGTTTTAAAAATGTGTCCTATGACCCTGCCAGCCAACCTAGATGGTTGACATGGCTAAAAATAGAGCATAAGGGTAAAATGCAAGTTTTGTCTATTATTTTGAAAACTGTTATAATTAGAGAACATCTGGTAGGTGAAAAAATGCTTAGAATGTTGAGTTCTACCAATTGTTCATATACATCAAAACTGTCAGACGGACTTCTTATAGTATTTGCCCTTAAACGACAAATTTTACCATTTTTATTCATTTTTGCCTATTATCTTGAAAATTATAATAGATTGAGAGAAACTTTTAATTGCAAAAATGATCAGCAAGACAAGTTCTAAAAATAAGTCCCATGGTCGATATAATCAGTAGACTCCTCATTAGAGTTATTGCCCTTTGATGACGATTTTTACCAATTTTTTGCGTTTTTGCCTTATATCTTAAAAATTGTAAAAGACAGATAGAAACTTAAATTAGCAGAAATGATCAGCAACACAAATCTACAATTAAGACAATGTGGTGGAAATCGTCTGACAACTCCTTATTGGAACTATTGCCCTTTAATGAGGTTTTTTTTACCATTTTTTTTGCGTTTTGCCTTATATGATAAAAATAATAATAGATAAATAGACACGTTAAATCACAAGAATTATCAGCAAGGCAAGATCTACTAACAAGTCAAATTTTGCCGATATAGTTAGTAGACTGTCACTCTTTATAAGAGTGATTGCCCTTAAATGAGGATTTTTTTTTACCCTCTTTTGTGTTTTGAGCAAAAACTATTAAAAGAAGATAGATGGTAACAAGACAGACTAAATGATCAGCATTACAAGATCAACTATTCTCGTCTACAATGTTGGAGGGTGTCCTTTGTTGAATATGCACATAGACCAAGGTGAGCGACACAGGCTCTTTCGAGCCTCCAGTTGCTTATTGTCTCGAAAACTGTAATAGATAGATAGAAACTTTAAATAGCACAAATAATCAGCAAGACAAGATCTACAAATAAGCCATTATGGTCGAAATTATCAGTTGACTCGTTATTGAAGTTATTGCCCTTTAGTGATTATTTTTACATTTTTTGGATAAAATAAATAGATAAATATAAATTTTAGAAAGGAAAAATTATCAGCAGGATAAGACATACAAATATTTCAATATGATTGAAATTGTCAGTTAACTCTTAATAGAGTTGTTCCCCTTTAATGATGATTTTTTTTAAAAAGTGGCCATTGTTGAAGTTGCAGGTGAACGACACAGGCGTGGTTTTCATCACAACACAGATTGCAATTACTCTTTTATTTTTACCAAAAAAGCTTCCATGATTTGACATGAATGACATAACATTTGTTTTTGTAAAATTGAAGTGAGTAAAAATATTTTTGATATTCTTTCTCCTATTGGCTTTCCCTGTTTCATTTTGGAATTTACTGTATTGATATTCTAATAACTCTGTATTTTTCATTTAACAGTGGCTGGTATGAGTCAAAGACATGCCCCGCCAGAGTTCCAGCCTTGTGAGATGACAGATTTACATCCTCTGCATAAACATTTGCTGATTAGGAGATCACTTAGATGTAAAGTATGTAAAACATAGATGGAAACTTTGTCTGTTTGCAATTGGTTGAAATATGTACCCAACTTTGCTAAATTTGATCTGAATTTGGCAAGTTATAAATAGCATATTGTGGATTCATTTATTTTCAAGGGTACCAATTTTCATGTATTTTGTGGATATATGATTTTGTGGTTTTACAAAAGTCTGCATACAAGCCTATAGACAGTGATTTTGCCAGCGCTCGTCACTTTCGTCATTTACGAAACTGTTTTCAAAATGACGAAAGTATTTCAAATCAATTTCGTCACTTAAATTTTGAAGTGTAAAAATATTTTCGCATGAAAATACTATAATTCTACCTGTCTACATGTTTCTGGCAAGTTTATGACCCTCAGCTAATTAATATTTACAACAGGTGTTATAAAGTTGTGATTACAGCTAATCCGCTTATCGCCATCGGATGGGTCTCACTAATCCGGTTAATTATTTTCCCCAGTAAAATTAGTCAATCTGCATTTTAATTTCAAAATTTCTCAAGGCCAACGACCACAATTTGCAGTTCGTTTCTCGTAGTTTCGTTATTTGAACAAAATATTTTCCCCTGGACAGTTCGCTTTTTAATTTCATATTTCTAAAACGATCATTATTTACAGTTCGTTTGTTGTAGTTTCGTCAAATGATCGTTTATTTCGTCATCTTTGATATAAAACGTTCAATTTCGATTAAAAAGATAGAACTTTATTCAAAACGTTCAGAAATGTTTTCACGTTAAAAACTTCCATCATCATTATCGGCGACATCGAGGAGTCAAACAGGTGCTTCCTTTACAATATATTGCGCATGCGTGAAAGTATTCGTATGAAGTTATAGACACTAAAACGTAAAATTCGAAATAAATTTAGTGCCAAAATAAATGAGAAAGACAGATATAATTCTTACTAAGCAAATTGAAATAAAAAAATGATAATTTCCTGCCTTTATTTAAACACGAACCAATCCGTAGATGAATCCGGATTCATTCTGAATTTATTATCTACTTGTCACTTCCTGTTTACATTTCATTTGAAAATCGAAAGTAAACGTGATCAATTCTCGATTAATTTACAATTTACAGTTATTGGAATCGTTCCATGTGAATTTGTACAAATCCTTGGTTCCAACTTTATAGAATTTAATTCAAAATATCTATTTAAATGTTTTATAAGGATAATGATTATGCAGTGTAATAGTTTTACAAAGTTCAACAAGTTCACTATACTGTGATTCCTGGTTTTAAAAAAAGGAATCCAACTTCTGTTGATCAGGAATGTCCCCTAAAACTAATTGACGTAAAATTTTGAACTAGATTTTCAGATCTTATATCCTAATCTTCATATTTAAGTGACAAATCAGTCAAGTCATGCAATTACTGCCTAGTAAATTTATGCCTTAGTCCTTCAAAGTCTGACAAAGATGTATAGCTAGTAATATACATACATCTTTGGTCCCTTGCTGTTACCCAAAATAATGTCGATTTTCATCTCGCGCAAAAGTGACTAAAGCCCTCAAAATCCTAGCTTAAACCCTGCCTATAGAAAATATGTACTTTGTTGAACATTTTAAAAATTTGGGGTTCACCTGTACCCATGAATTCCACGAAAATTGGTATCCCATGAATAATAATGAATCCACAGTATGAACTGAACTGTAGTATTAAAGTACTCAATAAATCATTACAAGAACAAATTCATTACCGGTACCTTACCATTTTATCCACAAAAAAGATTTATTAAGGAAGGGAGTTGTCTGCGTGTGGTCAGATTAGTATTATTTCTTTGTTCTGGTATTAGAGTAGAAATAATGAATGGAATTGTACACTTTATATATTTTCATGCAGGCACACTAGAATTGTCTTTTTCCTCCCATTAAGTATGAACTTACAAGAATAGAATGGAGATATGTTTCTGTTATAATTTTCAAATCTAATCTGATATTTGGGACATGTACAAGTATTTTGATATTTTATCTTTGTTGTTACAGAAATGATCAAGCCAATTTAATCTGAACTTATATTTTACAGCAATGTGAACACAACCTAAGCAAGCCAGAGTTTAACCCTATTTCCATTAAGTTTAAGATACAGTTGATTGCAATGTAAGTAGCACTTGACAAATTACTTATCTTTCCAGCTTTTTTTAGGGGGTAATCTGTAAAATTTGTCTTATCTGAACCCATTGCAAAAATAAACTTCTTCTAAATTCTTTGAGAACATACAAAGGGCATTCTCCACATGTTAAATACGTTTAAATTAAAACAGAGCGAATTCTCCACATGTTAAATACGTTTAAATTAAAACAGAGGGAATTCTCCACATGTTAAATACATTTAAATTAAAACAGAAGGAATTCTCCACATGTTAAATACGTTTAAATTAAAACAGAGGGAATTCTCCACATGTTAAATACGTTTAAATTAAAACAACGGGAATTCTCCACATGTTAAATACGTTTAAATTAAAACAGAGGGAATTCTCCACATGTTAAATACGTTTAAATTAAAACAGAGGGAATTCTCCACATATTAAATACGTTTAAATTAAAACAACGGGAATTCTCCACATGTTAAATACGTTTAAATTAAAACAGAGGGAATTCTCCACATGTTAAATACGTTTAAAATTAAAATAGAGGGAATTCTCCATATGTTAAATCAGTTGGTCATATAACTCTTTACATGTTTTTAGTCTTACACATCCTTGACCTTCAAATATTTGGGTTTGAGCGTTGCTAATGAAGTTAAATACAGAAAGACACTTTGGGGAAAGGAGATTATATAGAATTCAATCTGTCTGTTGGAACCAATATCAATGTTAAGGAAAAATTCATTCAAACTTTGTACAAAAATTGATCATCATAATTAAAGTAGTACAGACATTACTGAAGACAATAATTTGTCCACAAAAATTTCTCTTTTTTAAGTAAATATTTTCACCCTCCTTAGTGTTAGTCTTGTCAGTATCTCCTTTCACATACCTGTATGTTGTATACATATTTGTATGTTGGTAGCAATTTGCAGTCTAATAGATTTTTTATGGTTATGCCCCTTTGCATCAGAATTTTTATGGACCTCAGTACCTTCTTTCCCAATACAACTCTTTTTACACAGGTTAATCATACAAATAGAAAAAACTTAATATGTTATGTTGATTGTTTGATCTTTATATCCAAATAGGCATGTGGAAAGGAAGTTCCAGTTAAAGAGTTTTCTTAATTTTTGCCCCTTTCAAATTCAATTTTTTATCCTGTTCAGTAGCTGCCTTCTCAACAAAGCTTCTCGTAGTTAATCAGGGTTCTGGTTAAGACTTGTATACGCGTCCTGGATGCATGAAAATCGAGCTGGACGCGTTCATGTTGTATCCCCTGAATCTAAAACACATCGTTTTGCCTAGAGAAGGTTCATGATCATCGACATTGTTTTGACAAGAAACTAAACCGGAAGTCGATGTTGAAAAATTATGTAATGTCAGGCCATAATCTTGCCGGCGAAATGACGATTTAAGTCGCCAAAGAATTTTGAAAATCGCTAAATCTCGCCAGCCGACTGACTTCATGGCGAAGTCAAATCGCTATGAAAATCAGTAAAAGGGAGACAACTTGTGAATTACAAGTCTCCCAGGTAAAAAAAATGGCGACTGACAAGGAAAATCGAGATTTTCAAAACGACCCACGACTGATACTGTCGACGATCAAATCAAATAAATACAACGGCGACTTTGAACATCCTTGGATATAACATTCAAAACAATTCAAACGGAAAACTGACCGTCTGTTAAAGTTATCATTTTACAATGATTTTTACCTGAGGATGTTGCGTAATCACTCAGCTGATTTGTTTTATTTTTATTTATTACGAGTCGATCAAATTGTACTATTCGGTGGGTTAAGGGTGGGAATTAACGGTAGATTTATTATATTCATTGAATAAAAATTGAAATATAAAAGGTAGAAAGACAATGTGATTGCAAACGTACGACACTCGACCAGCAGTGGATTTTTTTTTCACGACAATTTCGTTGATAGGGAAGATTTCTTTAAAAAATGATAGAAATTAGCTCTGTATCAGTTAATTAATATGTGATTGACAGATATTTTCATTTATAGGCTTACAATCTTTAACGAGAATCTCAATTTACAACTACATGTAACATAATGTCCTGGACATTCAATAATGTTTTACAAAATAATGACAAGTGGTGATATAAATTATAAATTAAATTCCCAGTCATGTGAAATTCATCAGGTAAACTGGGAGTCATATTTTTCTGGACATTTAAAAATAAATTGAGGCAGATGCACATGAATTTAATGCATCATAATATTACTAGGCTACTCCCTCATGTCCCAAGCAACAAATTTTATTTAAACTTAAATTCAAGTTGACAGTACATATGGTATCAATGAATAAATAACAAATATATTGTCTAAACCTTTTTATTAAGAACTTTCTATATATACATTTTGTACAATAACATGAAAAAACTGCAAGTATATTTTTTATTGCATATAAAACAATTTCCTTAGTGATAAGCACGAGAACACTATGCAACCGTTTCGAAACGGCAATGGAATCTCACTTCTCCAAGAAATTGACCACTTCTCCCTTCTCTCTCATGGAAGGAGAAGTCACTTCTCCCTCTCCAAAATCCTAGATTAGGCCCTGTAATGTGTAGATAAATATTTTTGTTGAGTGATAACTATTATTTAAAATTAAACGTATTTCATCCTAAAATATAATAATTCTGTTCAAACTGATTAATAAATATATAATAGTTACCGATTTTTTGAAAATTTTAAGAGTATTTGAAAAGCTTGAATATTTCCACATGTTGATCATCACGTACTTATCGATTGAAACAAAGAAAGTAAAATTTTTTGAGAACTTGAAATGAAATGATATAATATTTCATAACTGTTGCTACTATGCATAAAATAGATCGAAAAAAACATGTAGATTAAAAATTTTACGGATGAGAATAATTTTACTGGTCTTCAAATGATTTAACATTTTTGTGCATGTTGAACATCGTGATCGTAAACAAAGGTGAAAAATGTTTTGAAATTGAAACAAATCCGATTAAAAAATGATTTACGGTTACGGTGTTCACTTTAGATTTGCTTGTTTTTATTAAAGATTATAATAATTATGATGCAAAAATCAAAGTGATTATTAACTCAATGATTAAATATGATTAAAATTGATTAATAATAATTAATATGAACTGTGACAAGTCTGCATGTGTTCATGCAATCCCAATTTCTTATAAATACTGTCTTGTCCAACAAAATGACATCAGTATCACAATGTCAGAGTCAGTCAAAGTTAAAGAATTGATAGACATAGAAAGATCTTCAGAAACAACAACTTCAGTTACTTCAGTCACTACACCAACTAAACCAAAGAAAGAGAGGAAATGGCAGTCTATATATATTGTAATGAACAATAACTATTAAGAAATCATAACTTTTATTAATATAATAAAAACTACCTATCCAACACGTGTCGTTTTAGTTTTATTTCATCATATTAAGACACAAAAAATGATATGCATCCTAAACTCATCAAAATCTATTGGGACTCACCATTTCTAAAAGTGATGAGTCCCAGGACTCACCATGAAAAATTCCTAGTGAGAGCCCTGGTTAATTCTACATAAATGAAACTTGATTGTAAGACCCTTGAATAAAGATGTCCTTTCTGGTCTATTAATTTTTTTCATTGATAGTAGCAAAAAAAGGGAGGAGGTACCTATGGGGCAATATAACTTTTGAAGCAAATTTTCTCATGCATTTATGTCTTATGTATGTAAATGACGTCTCTCATTAAAAAAATTTTTTTTTATTTTAGGAGCCACATACCAGAGATAAGGATATTTACATCTCCTGAGTTGAATTTTGATAAGGTATGTATTCATGCTCGTCATGCTATCTAGAGATGTTTATATACAAAATTTTTTGAAGTATTTCATTGTTCAAGATTTTTATATGAATACAAGGGGATGTCAGATATAAGTCAATGAAACAGCAATCCAGCAACACAAATAACCAAAAGAAAATTAGATGTTGACACATAGTCTTCACAGGAGTCTGAAATATAGCAAGGTCTAAATCACACAAAAACTGAAAAAGTTGTTTGTAAATCAAACAGACTATCAAAGATCAGTTATAAACACAAAATTTATACTCTATTTTGAAAAGTGAAAACTGGTATTGAATTTTAATATCCATATAGATTTATAGTTTGAATTTACATTCATCATTAGAAGAAAAAAGCAGCTATTGATTGTTTCTTGTTACAGCAGTTTCTGAGAACTAGATAGTTTGTTTTATAAGACCCTATCATAATGAACATTCGGCTGTAAACTGATTTTGAATGTTTGTAACCCAAAATCTTACAACACTTATATTAATTTATTTTAGGAATGTAAAGTGATATTGACCGTATGTAACCCAAAATCTTACAACACTTATATTAATTTATTTTAGGAATGTAAAGTGATATTGACCGTATGTAACCCAAAATCTTACAACACTTATATTAATTTGTTTTAGGAATGTAAAGTGATATTGACCGTATGTAACCCAACATCTTACAACACAAATATAAATTTGACAACACTAGAAGGTGACACACAGGATGACTTCAGCAATTCTAAGGTAGTTACTGTATACAAAGAAACATTCAATACACATCAAAAAGTTTATTTGATTGATAGAATCTTGCATGTTTTATAAAATGATTTTCAATTTCAGTAAATCTACCATCTGTATACTATTTTTTGTCTTTCCTGTGACAGAGTGCACCATTGTGGAGAAAGACATATGTTGCTGTTGCACTAGCATCCTCTTATTTCAGTTTTGACAGGAATTTTAGGCTCAATGGAATAGTTTGGTTTAAATATTTTGCATGTTTTTGTCTTATTTGCAATAGACTTGAATTTTAAATTTTATCATATTAAAATTTTAATAAATTTGCAAGGATACTGTGACCATTATTTTTACTTCATACTCTACTTGTAATGTAAATTACTATAGTAACTGTACTACATGACACATTAAGAAGCATTCATGCAATGAAAACTATTATGGAAATATTTTTTCACAACTCATCACTACTTTAAAGCAAACAAGAATTTAGTGCATCATGATGAGCAGTCTTTTCATTCTATCTATGTACCAATGAAATATATACTCAGATATTCAAGTTATAAAATGATTTGTTGATACTTGTCAAGAAAATTACATAAGTTGTGCATGGTGCATGAATTTATTTTTTTCTAAAAATAACCATGATGTCATTGTGAAAGACAATATTTAAAATTGTAGTTATCTTCCTTTGTCTATAACTGTATTTGAACCAACTCCAATTTCATTTGTTGATAACAACATGAAATTTCATTTTAGAAAAATAAATCCATTTTTTTATGCTTTTAAGATTTTTATTTCATTTCATAAATAACTATATTCAATAGATAAACTAACTGAATTTTCTTTAAGAACTATAAGTAAGAAGTTCAATGAATTGTGAATCCTTGACCTCTGGCAAAAATTTTCAATCTAATTATTTAATGTGATTGGGAAAATTCATTACAAACTTGATACTGTTGCATTTTTTTTTCATAAAAATAAACATCACAATTATTTCTGAATATACAGTATATACTATTGTTAGAAATTAAAATTAGCATAACATATGTAAAGCAGCTAGCTTCTCATAAATTTACAGTAGATTTACCTGATACCTCCTGAGCAGTTTTGATTTTAAACATGCACATTAATATTTTTGATAAAACTAACTTTTGATAACATTAGGATTGATCACCTTCAAGAAAGTTGATTAACACATGAATGTTTTGATTGAGAAATGATCACTAAAATTCAATAATAAACTAAATCCACATTTTACCTGACAATGAATGAAAGTCGATATTTTTAATATTGCTACAGTAGTACTGATACAAATATTATGAATTTTAGATAACTTTACCAAAAGATACTATAGTTGTGAGTCGTCGTGACGATGCTGCTCTGTATGATGTTGGTAGTCAGGAACAGGAAGCTCAGAAAGATGATCCAAGGTATGATGGGATTTATGGTTAAGAATATTATGCATTGTCATCCTAAGGGCTATTCCATTAAAATGTATGTAGAAGGTTAGGAATGGACTTTCAAAATATCCCTACAACCAAGAACCATTTTTTAGATAATTTTGCATAATGGTAATAGACACATACTGTAAAAAGACCCATGACCCACATTCAATAATTAAATTTCCCTTCCTACCCTCCCACATACATTTTAATGGAATAGCCCTAAAACTCTACATAAGAATTTTTGAAAAATCACACAAAATCATTCTCAAATTTACATGAAGGCAATTTTCATGTAACCCCATGAATTAAGATTTTCATGTAAACCCATGAATTAAGATTTTCATGTAAACCCATGAATTAAGATTTTCATGTAAACCCATGAATTAAGATTTTCATGTAACCCCATGAATTAAGATTTTCATGTAACCCCATGAATTAAGGTTTTCATGTAACCCCATGAATTAAGGTTTTCATGTAACCCCATGAATTAAGATTTTCATAATTAAGGTTTTCATGTAACCCCATGAATTAAGGTTTTCAGGTAACCCCATGAATTAAGGTTTTCATGTAACCCCATGAATTAAGGTTTTCATGTAACCCCATGAATTAAGATTTTCATGTAACCCCATGAATTAAGATTTTCATGTAACCCCATGAATTAAGATTTTCATGTAACCCCATGAATTAAGATTTTCATGTAACCCCATGAATTAAGGTTTTCATGTAACCCCATGAATTAAGGTTTTCATGTAACCCCATGAATTAAGATTTTCATGTAACCCCATGAATTAAGCAGAAGTTAAAGACTACTGTGGATCTTTTTATTTTCATGGGGTACCAATTTTTGTACAGTTTGCGACATTTATGTTGCGAAGCAAGACTTAGCGATCCTAGATTCCTTCGTCGGCATCAGCGGCGCCAACATTTAGGTTCAGTTTGTGGTCAAAAGTTTTTTTAGACATCAATTACTTTGTCAAACCTTCATAGAATTTTATGAAATTGGACAGAAGCTTGTTAATGACCTAAATACAGTATCCAGAGCAAAGTATTTATTTTAATTTTTCTGTATTTTACTGATAAGTGGACTTATTTTATTTTTTTTACAGTTAACAAGGAGATACAGTCTGGGATTAGAGTTTGTTACACATCAGTTATTTTGTAAACCTTCATAGAATTTTATGAAACTTTGGCAGAAGCTTTTTTATGATTGTTAAAAAGTATGTCTGAGGCTAACTTTTGAAAATATTTTATTTTTATTTCAGTATTTTTCTGATAGATGGACTTAGTTTTTTACAGTTAACATTTACAGACATTAAATTTTTTTTTGATATGATAAATTTGTAAACCTTCATGGATTGTTATGAAATTTAGACAGAAGCTGATCTTCAGTACCAAGAAATAGCATATAAAGAAAAGTTTGATTTTTTTTTAAATTCTGTATTTTACTGATAAATGGACTCACTTTTTAGGTCAACATTACACTTATACACTGACAGAAGCAATTGCAGGCGAGACACATGGTTCCACCGAAACCCCTTACAAATTTTTGTTTAATTGAGGAAAAATTATACTTTCTTGGATATTTGATTTTGTGGTTTTGCAAAAATCTGAATACAAGCCTACAGAACATTTGAACTATGTTGATCATTTAATTAATAGGTCCCCTTTACTCACAAAATCCAGGAATAATAATGAATCCACCGAATTACATGTTAGATGTGAATTTTATATTTTTTTGTGAACATCTCCTTGTTTAAATCATCTCAATAAAGTTGATTTTTTTCCATTAAGAAAAGTGGTCAAGTGAAGGTATTCATTGTTTTGAAAATGGTATTAAGCACCGACAGACTAACAGCTCTACTCTGAAAAGAATTTAAGCAAGTCCTTAAATCTTATTGATACATTTGTACATTCAGTGAAAAAACATCTAATCTACGATAATCTTTATCAGAAATTGATTTAGTTTAATGTTTCAAGCAATATTATAACTGTTAGTTAACATTGAGATCATTAGCTGAATATATGTATAAATCTATTAATAGGTCTGGTTTATAAAATGCATTGGTGTCAGACACAATCATATTTAAAAGCTATTAACTGAAGTCACCATTCTCATTGATTTTCTGTTTCAGTGTAATTGTTTTTAGAAAAGCAAACAAAGTAGGATTTTATGTCAAAGTCAAACCACAAGTTAAAGATGGGGATATACAGGTATATTAATTATAGATAAAAGACATTGTAATCTCTCATTGTTTTAAATCACCATTTGAGTTATTTATTTTTTCCAAAACTTTTATGAAAAGAAAATCTCATAGTGTACATGTACATGATGTTGAAAAGTTATATAAAACAAAATTTTAAAATCAACAAATAATGTCAATATCTATAAGTACCCTTTTTTCTGCTAAATGTTTAAAATGTGTTCAACAGGTTCAATATACAGGGGGTTGTTATTGTTTTTAATAGCAAAAGTATTGTGAGCATAGCAGGATGAAAACATTTAGACGATTTTATGCAGAAAGATTTTTTTAAGATGCCTTCTACTCCCCTTGAATTAGTCACTGTTTATCACATACATACTTTATTAGTTGAATTATTATATCTTATAATTATCTATCTTTCAGGTAAGCTTCATGATGAAACATGATTACCACAACACTGCCATAGCTCTGACCAGTGAGAACCAAGAACCACAAGTTGTCTGGCTCGAGCAAAAAGTCTTTGTTAATTTAGGTCCATTGAAGACACAGAAATAGTGGATACATAACTATTATTTACAATAAAGATTAAAGAAAAATCCTATGGAGACACTGAAATTGGGAGATGGTCATTTAGAACAAATCTTTATTTTCATGATATGGAAGACATTGGGAAAAGGGGGAATAATAATAAAGCCAACAAGGAGCATAAAAAGGTTTTGTTCAAATTCCACTGACAGCACAGCAGGATGTCATTAATGTTACAGACTGAAACATTTGATTAATCAGGAGGGCACCTCCACCCTTATGAAAATTTAGATCAGAGATAATGTTTTGTGTCTGGTGGAAAAATTATGTCAATGGAATGTATGTAACTAATTTAAAAATCATTTTTTCCTAACAAAAAATATTAAGCATTATTTCATAGTGAGCTTATATTGGAATCAATGCAGTTTTAATAAGAAATATGAAGCTTAAAAGGTTCATGAAAATGTATTTAACTAGATTTATAATTATTATATAAGAAATAAATGACAGATCAGTGTCTTGGATGTTTGACAGATTTATTTAAGAATAAACAAGATGAGACAAATGTGGGGTTACTGTAGTTTTAGCTTTCCTTTTACCATTCTGTAGCTTGGTATGTTATACTCCATATGAAATATTGGTGCAATATTGTGATCAAGTAGTACTTTGTTGTATATCATCAATTGTTCTAAGCTTTATCATCAATTTTATATTTTTTACTCCACATCAAAAGTGATAGAGTGTAATTAAGAATAAGGTAAAATTCTGATTAATTGATTGTTGGTTGCCTAACGTCCAGTGGCAAAAGGTAAAATTCTGAAGAACAAAATTTTTAAATCATGTTTTTTGATATTTAAAGCAACTGTTTGTTAGAATTTAAATATATATCAAAAAGATTTTTGTATTTGGCTGAAAATGGAGGTTATTAAAAAAAATCATTTTCCTGTCTAATGAATAAATACTGCTTTCATTTAAAGATCTATGTAATTGTTAATCATCTATGTATTGTAAATCCAATGTGTTAATACCATGTCTGAAAAGTGTGCTAAATATCTGGCTGATGTGATTACCATCTATCTATATTAAAATTTTAAATTTAGCCATCAAGGTCTTCTCAAGAAATACTTTTTTGGATAGATAGGTTGTTGTTTTAGATTCTCTTGGTCTAAAAGCAATGGGAACATTTGAAGAAAAACATTTACCTGAGTATATTAACTTTAAACTTTTGTGATTAAATTTTATGGATTATAAGGTTCATTAAACATAGTATTAAATTCCAGCTTCTATTCATTACTTACCTATATAATCATTTAATCTGAAATATCTTATTAAATTATCAGCCATATTCTTAAATGTTGTTGCGGTTGATATTTACTGAAGTGATCAATGTTATTGTATGGTGATATCCTGTTTATTAAGAAAGGAGTATCCTCAAAAGTTAAAGATCTTGTTTACAACATTAAATGTTTACCCACTGGTACCCACTTTTCTATTGGTTGAATTTGATTTGTGGATCCACTCTTAAAGCAGTGTTCTTCCCAGGATTTTTTGATAGGGCTGTGGTAAGTGCGTGATTTTCGACAATTCTCAGTAACTTTGTCACAGCGCGCGGTTCGTTTGTAATGGGTTTGTTTTGATGTTTTTATACAGTGTACTATTAACCTTACGATGTTTGACAGGAGTTGACATTACGGAACATTATGATTTCTTACTTTCTCATTTTTCTGATCACCATTTACATTCGTATGGCTTCACCCAAGTTGGACATCGTGAAAAGTGAATTTTTCAAGTCTAGTATCGGCTTGGGGTTTGTTTTTCTAATCATAGCCTCCTAATCGTTTTCAAATGGAAAAATGCATTACTGTAGTATTGCTGATTAAACAATTATTAGTTCGATTAGGTGATAATTAATAATTCAAAGACTTGCACATTGAAAATTTGATCGTTGTTTAAAATTTAAACAAAGTTCTTGTCGGTAAATGCGGTCACTTTACTTCATCTTGTTCCATTTATATTTGCTTCTTTATATTCTTTTTTATTCAAAAAATGGATGATACTGTTGATTTCTTCGTTTATTTTGATTTTCAAAGGCGCCATTTTGTAAAATTTATTAAACTGGTCCCACGAAGTTACTTTATACAACGCAAATAACACATTCAGAAATAGTAAACCAGACGATCACGTGATCGAAGTAAAAGATGAGTGGGAAATTTGAAAAAAAAAAAAAAAATCGAAAAAAATATAGAGACGCGATTGATTTAGATAGAGCTGCGCTCAGTTCAATAAAACAGCGGAAAATTGCAATAGCGCTGAATGCCGAAGCGCTAAAATGGCCTGGGAAGACTGTAAAGAAGTGATTATAAATGAAATGAAAACTCGATATTGTTTCCAATTTTTAGGGAAAAAGGTACTTTACATATGTAATATGTTAATTAAATTATATGAAAACTTTTATTACATTTTCCATTTTTTGGGGAAAAAGGTACTTCTCATCTAGTAAACCTATCATTTAATTAGATTATTTGCTGCTTTTATGTTATTAGTGTATATTGGTGAATGTATGAGATTGTATAAATATTTAACTTAAAAATGGTTGTTTGCTTGTATTATTGAAAATAAAAGTGGTATATTCCAAATCTTCGTAATATCTTCTACACAATATATCAAGCTTCTATTTTTTATCAGCAGTGATTCATCATATAATTGATCACTTATACAATCATATATTATGGTTGGAAAATCTGATATCAACCTTTATGGAAAACTGTCCAATGTTAGGGGAGGGTTGGGCACCCGCAAACATGTTTAACCCCCGCCACAATCTGTATGTGCTTATCAAAAGTCAGGAGCATGTAATTCAGTGGTTGTTATTTGTTGCTGTATATTATGCTTGTTTTTAATCATAATGCCCCACCTAGGGGCATTATGTTTTTCGGACTGTGTGTCCGTTCGTTTGTCCATCCATTCATCAGTTTGTCTGTCCCGCTTCAGGTTAAAGTTTTTGGTCAATGTAGTTTTTGATGAAGTTGAAGTCCAATCAACTTGAAACTTAGTACACATGGTCGCTATGATATGATCTTTCTAATTTTAATGCCAAATTAGAGTTTTGACCCTAATTTCACAGTCCACTGAACATAGAAAATGATAGTGCGAGTGGGGCATCTGTGTACTATGGACACATTCTTGTTCATTCATTGTTTTGTACATAAATCGGGCAGTTAGTTTTCTTGTTTGAACTGTTTTACATTTCGAGGACTTTTATAGCTGTACAATGACCTGTAGTTGTTAACTTCTATGTCATTTGGTCTGTGGTGGAGAGTTGTCTTATTGGCAATCATACCACATCTTCTTATTTTTATATAAGTAACTGAATGGGAATAAAATCTTTGTTCTTTGATACTTTTCAATGTTGTCTTATGTACTATCAATATTCATTTTTACTGTTGGATATTCATTATCACTGTATTTTTACCTGCCAACTCAGTTCTAGGAGGGAGACTCCATCTTTTCCTTTAAAAATTTGAAGTTTCTTCTTTTGGACCTAGGCCTGTCACCTGCAAATGAGGTCAAAATCTCCCACTTTGGTAAAAAAAAATCATCCTATTTACAACCCCTTTCATCATTTAAGTTATTTTGATAGTATTTTCTGTGATTGATTTTCACTCTATTGCAAAAGCAAAGATCAATAATGTTATTTCAACTAATTAAATCCATGTATAGATAATTAAACTTTATTTTGTGCTGAAATATATTAAAATACTTTGTTTCTTAATACAAAATTTTGAAAAAAAGTCAACACACATAATCTCCCCCTAGTGGAATTGGAAAGGGGGAGATCTTCCGCTTTGTTGCTCTAAAGGGTAGGAAGGTATGCTTTATTGAATACACTTAATTACATCCCCTTTTAAAAAATCTCTGTACTGGTAATTTTTTATAACTCTAAAGTAAATAATACATGGCAAAATCTATATCTCATGCATTACATGGTAAAATTCATATCTCATGAATTACTTGGTAAATTCATATCAAATGCAATACATGGTAAAAATCCATATCTCATAATATATGTGGTTAAATCCATATCTCATGCAATACATGGTAAAGTCCATATCTCATGGAATACGTGGTTAAATCCATATCTCATAAAATACATGGTTAAATCCATATCTCTTGGAATACATGGTAAAATCCATATCTCAAACAATACATGGTAAAATCCAGATCTTTTGCAATACAAGGTAAATAAAATCCAGATCTTTTGCAATACAAGGTAAATTCCAGATCTCATGCAATACATCATAACATCCATATGTCATGACATGTCAGCTCTGACATTTATCAGCCCTCTGGTCTTTTACATCGCATGTTTTTACTGAGGATTATACAAAAAAAGTAAAATAACAAAAATACCGAACTCCCAGGAAAATTCAAACGGAAAATCCCTTATCAAATGGCAAAATCAAAAACACAAACACATCAAAGGAATGGAAAACAACTGTCATATTCCTGACTTGGTACAGACATATATGCTACTGATTTTCCCCATGAATTATTCAACATTCATTGGAAGTATGTATTTTGTATTTCTATGCCCCGTCATAGGTGACGGGAGCATTAAGTGTTACCCTTGACCCTCCGTCTTTCCGTCCAATTTTGGTTGCAAAGCTTGAGTGGGGGCATCCGTGTCCTCTGACACATTCTTCTTTTATTGTATAAGAAGTGTCCTTTGTTGCAGGTAAGATTTAAGTTCCGACTTGTATAAAGTGGAAAATAGTTCTCTTGTGTTATTTATCATACACTTAAAACAAACCTATATGAAGTGTACCATTTATTTTTGAGAGCACACAAGTTCTGGTTTGTTTAGTATTAAATACTTGTTTGTTTTCCTTATTACACATATAAAACAACTCACAAACATGTTTAAACCCCGCCAAATTCTTTATGTGTGTCCCAAGTCAGGAGCCTGTAATTGGGTGGGTGTCATTGGTTGCTCTGTCATATTTTTTGTTTTGTTGTAAATCAGGCTTTTGGTTTTCTCGTTTGAATTGTCTCACATTTTGTCATGTTTCACAACTGGCTAATATAGGGAATGGGTTTTGCTCATTGTTGAAGGCTTAATTGTAACCTATATGGTTGCTTACATCCTCATTATTTGAACTCTGGTTAATATTTTTCCAATTGGCAATCCATACCACATCTACTTATTTTTATACCATTTGAAGCTTATCATTTATTTTAAGTGCATGCAAATACAACAGCTGAAAGACAGTTCCTTAAATAATTCCTTTTAGTGTGGATGTATATGTATAAATGGTGGTATTGAATGAAAGAGGGAGAAGAAGGGCAATCAAAAACTGTTAGTAAATAAAAACCCCGAAACCATGGCAAAAAAGAAAATGACGAAAAGACAAACAACAGCCTGCAGAACCATTTACAGAAAAACAAAGATTGATCAATTAATGTTCAAGACATTAAAGAAAGGTTTAACATTTATTCAGGGTAAATAAGTGTATCCCATATGCAAAAACACAAACCATAAAATATAAACTTTAATGTGTTGATATTCTCAGTTTAATTAAACCATAACAAATCAAGCCATAAAACTTAACCTTTTCTGTTTGGATGCACCTTACCTAAAATTTCATTAAAAAAAGAAACATCATATTTTTTTGGACCAATAAACACATTCTACTTTGATCATACCTCATATTAAACATCCTGTAAGAAAACATTTTAATTTGGACAAACAGATTGCATGTATCATACTTTAGTTAGATATTTTGATGATATTGCAGTCTCAGGAATTAACCAAAATGTGAGTCCATTGTCTCTGATAATACTTTGTCAGGCTTGTAACCAGGATGTCTTTGAAGAGGGTGGGGCATTGTGGGTCATGATGCTCTGACTTTAATAGTCAAATTTATAATGGAACCTCAACTTAGATAGTCTTTATAGTGTTCTTGGTTTTCCGGAGGGGGACTGGTCGTCCCAAACCCCTCTGGCTACAGATGTGATTCTACAGTGATTATATTTCACTATTTTAATACACCATCTACTTTCTTTGTTGCAATTTGTTGGTAAGAAAACAGATAGCCCTTATTTAAATAAATCCTTGTCTTTTACTAAACTCTGGCTAAATATTTGTTTGATTGATTGATAATGTTTCATGTATATTCAGTATAAGGACATTGATATTCCATTAATTTGTTGCTTGAACAATCTTGTATATTTAGCTGTTCCTTTGCTTTTTGTGTGTGTTTTTTTTTTTTTTTTTGCTATGCATTTACTGATTTTATGTCATGGATGGATACCCCATATCCTTTGTTTTTCCTATTATATACCCTATTAAGAATCATTATTTCTCAGAACTTTCGAAAATGTTGCCAGTTATATATGTATTGAAAGGCCTGGAAGTCTTTCAATATAACCTTAAGGAGATCGATGTGGTATGATTGCCAAATACTGGGTAGTTCACCAAAATCCTTCAACAATGAACAAAACAAATACCATAGAGTAGTGTTTAAAAGGCAATGAGGTTAGTGAAAAGTGAAACGATTCAAAACAGAAAGCCAATGATCTGATTTATGCTTAAACAATTATTGCAGACAGCCACCAACTACAAACACTTGTAGACTCCTGGCTTGGGACAGGCACATAAAGAATGTGGCAGGATTAAACATGTTTGTGAGCGCTCAAATCCCCCACCCCCTCTCCTTTGGCTTTACCTTGAGATGGGATGTAACAGTGCAAAAATAGAACACACTTTTAAAAACATCTAAAAGGGGGTTAGACTTATCGATCAGTACTAAGCATAAGAATCCATAAACACAATGAGTAAAGACACAAAGTACCTACCTTAGAGTACCGGCTTTTACTGAAAGCTAGTTTTAGGCCAATATTTTAACTAGTAGTCCTTGTTTTCCAAGATTAAAATCTCAATCAGTACACATCCAAGGGATTTAAATTAAAGACTTCATATGCAGACTTGGAATAGTATAACCTTCAGTGCACCATTCTTTAATTTAGAAAAGTATTGATAAGATGCAGGACACTAAGTATCAAAAGCTGTATAGCAATATATGTTAGCTTTGTAAAATACAATCAATTAGTTCCAATAAGAGAATGTTAAAAAGATACATTCCCGAGTTATGAGGTAAAAATTCGATGTGACGTTAACCTTACTTTGTGCTTTGCTAAAAAAAAAACATACAAAGTTTTAATAATGATATGATCTAAAATTTCGAGCTTTCAAACTGTTAATTGATATTCGAATAATTAGTTCAATCTTTCTTTTAATTCATTTGAAATTCTTCGTTGTTTCCATATACATGTTACATAAGTATTCTGTTTTTAAAAAGAAGGAAATAGTTCAGTCAATTTCCTTTATATTGTGATGAACGTAACGCCCTTCATCAAGCAAAGTTTCATTGAATTAATATAGTTTACTGTTTTTAAATCATTATGTGTTGTAATTTCAGGATTCATATACAGTTAAACACTAACTTAGAAATGTTTCTCGTATTTTAGTTTATTTGTTAAATTTCTATAAACAAATTTATTTTGAGCATATCACATACACAGTTCATGATGCTGATGTATTAAATCTACTACTTTTCTGTGCTTATTTGAGTATTTCAAACA